TGTTTTGTGAAAATGAGGGGGGCTGATGCTAGACCATTTGGTAAGGCGGTGAATTCATACAACTGTCCTTCAAATTGGAAACGTAAAGTTTTTCCATGTTCTGAAGCTATTGCCACTGAATAATATGCATCTTTCCAATCTATTGATGCCATAAACAGTTTTCTCTCATGAGATCAATGGCTGCCTGTAAAGTATCCATTTTAAAATGGTTATAATAAACCGACTGATTCAGATTTTTTAGATTTAATATCATCCTGTACGAACCATCTTTTTTTGGTCTCAGATTTTTTTTGGGCACATATTGATCAGTACACTGTGTTACAGGTCGGATAATTTGCTTTCTTTCAAGTTTTGAGACTTCTGTTTGCACGAAATACATTTCCGCATCAATAAATTTGTATGGATGTGGTGTAAACTTTTGAAAAGGTATTTCGGAAAATTCAATGTTATAGCCATTTTCCACGATATTTATTACATTTTTAGAGCATAAAACATGAAAAATGTAATGCATGGAAAAAGGGCGGGAATCAGAAGCGAAATAAATAGCGCCATATTCTAATGACGTCACGCTTGACAACAAGGCTGCGCGCCATTTTGAATGGGACGTTTTCTGCTATTTTCGGGTATGATTGCTTATAAAAATGTTATTAATTGTATATTTATGTAAATACTCAAGTGTAGGTACCAAACATTTACCAGAACTATCCGGTTATTCTACCGTCGCTTCATTTAAATCTGAACAAAAAATTGTTGCCTTTGAATGCAGCGAATAGAAGATACCGTTATGATTGGTCAATACCAAAAAGCGAATATTACTCTTGATATTTGTCAATGTGTGAAAGATATCAGTTTTATCAAGTTGATAAATTTCGCTATTTCATTGGCAGAAATGTAATAAATATGTATACTCGATCCCGATTGGCTGCATGGTTGTTGTTGTTTTTTTGTTAGCCTTACATGTTGTTAATCTTTATTTTCATTTTGAGTTGGACCACTGGCGAAAGCAAAGTGTGGAAAATTTACAGCACACCCTTCACACCCTAAAATTTATTAACGAGTGTAATACAGTATATGGGGCTGGGTATAACATATTTGAACAAGAGTTCTACAAACACCCATTTTATTTTGTGGTTGAGTGGTGAGAAATATATATATATATATGTCTATATTGAATAGTATGACTTGGATGAAGGTTGAATAATTTATCAAATATTGTTGGCAACATCAATATATTTGTGATTATCAAAGGTTTGATGCAACCTTCAATTAAGTAAAATTTTCTCATTTCTTATGCAACGTGTTTTCCATATAGGTAATAGTTTGGTTTGGTTTTAATTTGTTTAACGTCCTATTACTTTCCAAGGTAATTTAAGGACGTGCCTCAAGAAAAGTGTGATGAGAGAGTATTTGGTGCTAAAGAATGTCTATAAGTTTAGACCTGCTACTGCCCATACAAGGGCATATTTTATGGAACCTCTACGGATGTTGATAACTCCTTCCTGTTGTACAAAATAGCGGATCTATTATGGACTTTGGGTCGGGGGTGAAGGAGGGGGGTGGGGGTGGGGGTGATACTAATAGTTTAAAGATTAGAGATTGTTTACCATTCGGTGTTGGTCATATCAACTCTGGCCACCTTTGGGAACTCTTTCTCATACAGAGCCAGAAATAGTATATTCGGGTAGGTGAACTATAATGACAGGGGAAAGGGGTGAAGGGGACGGGGGAGGGTGAAGTTAAAAACACGCTGACATAGTCTATGGCCTAACAAATGGAGTATCACTGATTGCCTTCTTGAAGGTGTCAAATGATGGACTGCTGCAAGCTCCTAACGGGAGGGCGATCCATTGGACCGTGGTTAGGGGGAAGAACGAGTATTTAAAAAGTCCTTATTGGTAGGGATTTGCCGATCGGGGGTGGGCATTTCTTGATAGTCTCGTTGGGTGGACTACATATGGTGGCATTTGGATTGTTACTGTCTGGTAGACTATTTTGTAAAATAAACACAGTCTGCTTTTGGATCTTCTGTGTGCTAATGTTTGCCAACCCAGACTCCCTAACATGTCTGTTACACTGTCCAGAGGGGGAAATTTGCCAGACACCCACCTAGAAACTCTGCGCTGGACTATTTCTAGTTGTTTACTTTGATCTTGGGTGTATGGGTCCCAGACACAGACAGAATATTCTAAGTTAGGGCGAACCAGCGCCGTGTACGCTGCAGTCTTTGCCTTTTTGTCTTTCACCTTGATGTTTCTTTTTATATATCCTAAAATTCTGTTGGCTTGGCTACTTACATTTTGGATGTATTTATTCCAGGTCAGGTTTGATGTTATGGTGACACCAAGGTATTTTGCATGTGGAATAGTTTCAAGTACTTGTCCGTGTAGCATATACTCTCTGGGGATTTGCGTCTTTGACCTTGATATGTGTATTACCTGGCACTTGCTCGGGTTAAATTCCATATCCCACTATTTCTCCCATAACTGTAATCTGTCAAGGTCTTTATGCATCTTGTAGATTACTTACCGCTAGGTAGATGGCAGTGTCGTCTGCGAAGTGACGCACTGTGGATGTTATGTTTAGTGGCAAGTCATCAATATAAATCAAAAATAAAATTGGGCCGAGGACCGAGCCCTGGGGTACACCTGATGTTACCAGGACTTTTGATGAAGTAGCTCCCTGTATTCTGCCTGTAAGAAAGCCTCAAATCCATTTGAGAGTTAGGTGCTGTATTCCGTATTGATGAAGTTTGAATAAAAGTTTTTCTTGATTTACCTTATCAAAAGCTTTACTAAAATCGAGTAAAATTAAATCTGTCTGCTTACCTGTTTGTAGGTTTTTGAAAAAAATCCTCCATAAGCATGGCTAGTTGGGTTTCACAATTACGTTTTTCTCTAAAACCGTGCTGGAGTTCAAACATGATATTATTGGTGTCAAGATGTCTTACCAGGTTTGATGTTACGATATGACCTTGCACAAAATACAGGTAAGGGAAATGGGGCGATAGTTCGAAAGCTCTATTTTTCTCACCTTTCTTGAATAAAGGAGCGACGTTTGCTGAGGTCCAATGGGATGGGAGCTCACCGGTTCGGTATGATGATCGAAATAATACCTGTAAATGGGTGCCAGTTCACTATGGAGTTCTTTAAGAACTATTGGTTTTATGGCGTCAGGACCGGCCGCTTTATTGGGATTAAGTTAATAAAGAAGTTTGTCAATACCTGGAAATGAGAAAGTAATGTTTGATATTGGTAGGTACTTACTTTTTTGGTCTTGGGTGGAAATTCCTTGGTCATTGGTTTGTTTTGTTGACAGAAATGTTTAAGGCTGAGAGGCGAATTGGGTGTAAAGACCGACTGAAATTGTTCATTTAGGGTATTTGCTTTATCTATATTGTCAGTATACAGCAGGCCATCTCGTTTAAGGGGTCCTATACCTTTGGGGTCTTGTCGACTGTTTTTCAAAAAGCTGAACAATTTCTTTGATGAATAAGATTTTTGCTCACCTGGTGCTTGTTCGTTTGGTGTTATGATTCCCAGGAGTTCTTTAAATACCTGTTATGGGATTCTTTAATCATCTTTTGTACCAGGTGTTTGTAGTGCAGGAAGTGTTCCCTGTCTCTTACCCTTTTTGACTTTTTGTGTTTATAGTCATCCAGGGAATGTATTGCTTCGTACCATTTTTTTTGTTGGAATGGATTCTGAAATGGCTTTATTTAATTCCGAAATAAATTCTTGCCAAAGGAGTTTCAGTTGACTTACCGTGGTGATTTTCGGTGAAAGTTTTTCCGAATGTGCACATCCTATCCTGGAGTTTCTTCCAGTCTGCCTTTTTGTACATATCAACCTGTCTTGGTTTTTGGGATTTAGAATAGAGACTTACTTCTATATACACTGCATCATGGTCTGATGGACCTGGCATATTGGTAACTCGACTGACAAGTGTCGGGTTGTTTGTAAGCAATAACTCCAGAATGTTTTCTTCCCTTGTGGGTTTACTCACCATTTGGACTAAGTTGTTGTCATCCAGCATATTTATGAAGTCTTGGTATATGGTTTGGGCTAGTTGATCATTCTTTAGAGTGGGAAACGAGTTTTCCCAAGTAAATTTAGGGTATTTGAAAACACCTGTAACCCATATATTTGAGCTCTTCTTTATCAGGGCAAATGATTTTGCTAGTTCATCAGCACTCACCTTGTCATGCTCATTTGATGTGTAATAAGATGCAATGTATAGTGGTTTGTGGCCACTTATTTCCAGTTTGATCCATATGACCTCGCAGTTGGTTGTTAGTTGCTGCTGTTCACTGCATATAAGATCATTTCCTACTAGGAGGAGCACCCTGGGCTTGTTTTCTTCATTGCCTTTGGGCTTATTTTTTAAGGGGATTGATGTCATTTCTGGCTCGAGATTATCGTTACTCTCTTCCAGTGAGTTAAACAAGTTAGCGGAGGACAGGGATGACAGGGGTGTTTCAAATAACACGTTTGAATAATTTGGGGAACCACAATGCAAGCAGACCCACGAGATACCATCATGATTTGATAAGATATTGTACGTATCTGAACTAATATTTTGACAGTTTGTGTGATACCAAGTTTCACATTCATCACATAGTACACCTTCTTGGTAATATGTGACAGGATCACTACATGTCCCGCATGGGAAATGTGTGGACGACGATGGCCCTGAAGGTCCTGGATTTACCTCAATGTCTGAGGACATAGAGAGGAGTAACATTGCAAGGTAACAAAGTTAACTCTTGGAAATGCTGTAAGCCTGCCGAAACCACAGGTGCTCGGGTTCTGGAATATGCACATGTGGTTGGCACGTAAGGTTAAACAGACTTCTATAATCTTACCATATTTTCATTTGATTAAAATTTCTGCTCGGAACAAGTTTTTGTTTTGTTTTTTGATTTATTTATTTTTAAGAGGACAAGGCTATGACGAAGCTGGAATCGCCAAAATTGTGTTTAAAATGAAGATAAAAATATAATACACATTTTAACAATTTTTAATCAATTTAAAAAATATAAATGAACAAACAGTTTAGCAAACAGCACAAATAGATACACATAAGCCAGAGTTTTTACAATGCATGTACAAATTATCAATTGGGAAAAATAGTTTTACCTTTCAAGAAAAAAGTGAACAACATTTTTATTATTTTTATGAAGTCAGTTTTTTCAAATAATTTTGTCATCTCCAAGCTGCTGACAATGTGATATGGACTAGAAAAATCAGTGAGGTTCTCCAACATACAAGATATACACCTGGATGAGTGAAACAAACAAAAACTAAATTTCTCAAATTTTAATGACATTACAAAAGTTTGACTGGGTTAACAGTGATAACATGGAGCATCATTATAATAGTCTTATAAATAATATAGATATTTCTAATCTTTCATACAATGTTTCTTGACCTCTTTGATCATACTGGCAAGTCTTTTTTATAACAAAAGGAGTATTTTACTAAATGTGCTTCATAATGAACGTGGGTCTAGCATGACCATCAGATTGATCCTTTACTTTAAACACAGACTGAAACATTTAACATATATACATGGTTCTGTCCATTACAGACAGTTACTCGAGAACAAATGCCACCTTATTTATCATTTGTAATAGAGTTATCTCTCTTACGTTTGATAAGAATTTACCAAACATAAACAAAGGTCTGAAATACCATACAAAAAACACGCTTTGCAGGTTACTTAGGGTTGTTCAGGGAGATACACTTATCACGGTTAAGTAGCGTATAACTTAAGTGTTACATGTACTAACATATTAGAAGAATAGATTTGGACAAAACAACCTTACAAACAAATATAGTGGGGTTTTGTTTAAATATTAATACTTGAAAATTCCACAGTATTGCCATAATATTGAACACCTGTGGACAGTCTTAGTGTGTTTTAAAGGATTCAAGTTTCTGTATACATGTACATACAGAAAAAGACAGATAAGAAATCAACAAATTATCCTAACGCAGCCATTCGTTTTAATGACGAGGCACTAATTTCCTTCGGAAGACAGGAGAGATTCATAACCAAATTACTATCCATATCAAAGAGGATTCCACAGAGATCTATAGATGATACATCCTAACAAATGTAAGTATATCTACTGGTGGTGGGCTTCAATATCCATAAGGAAGATCTTACTTAAAATCATATACGTAAATATAAGACTGATGGTCATATACGTATATATAAGACCGAGGGTCATATGGCAGTTAATAAATTGGTAAGTCACCACATGACAGGATATATGGATCAAAGCAAAGCTAGTACTTTATTGTCACAACTGACTCACAAACAACCACATAGCCGACGTAGTTCACAAAATCTGAGTGTTTGTGTTTACAACTGTAGTAATCTAGGGGCATATCAAGTGGATACCATACCTTGTTTTCGACAGGAAAAATCAACTGTAGTAATCTAAGGGCATATCAAGTGGATACATACCTTGTTTGTGACAGAAGATATCATCTGTAGTAATCTAGGGGCATATCCAGTGGATACCATACCTTGTTTGTGACAGGAGATATCAACTGTAGTAATCTAACAGGCCCTACGTGGGTTTACAAAGTAGGAGCCTTCATGTGACAGGTAGCATTCTAGTGATTGGAAGATCTGATTTGAACTACAGTAGTATACCTATAGCAGAAACATATGTCATTATTTTGTACATCTGTCTGTAGAAAGTATAAAAAGAGAGGAGTTAATCTCACTTAAGTACAAAAAGCCTATACAAAAATGAGAAAATAACTTAAGAAATTATAACAGTCTTTGATTTTAAAAATAAACATGACAAAGCTTTACACCAAAAAACGCACTACGTACAAGCAGTTTCAATAATAAAAGCTTTCTTAAACAGAAAACACAAACTAAAACTATCTCATATCACTACCAAGGATATTTAATGCTGAATAATATAGGAAAATAATATCGCCAACAGTAACATTTTAGTTCATTAACAAACTTGCCAATGTGCTTTTATTTTACATGTAAAATGACTTGACGTTCAACTATTGTATATTTATTGTCATCTTTGGTCTGATATTCAAATGCAGTCCTGCTGAAGTATGTGATTACTTGCATTTTCTTTATTCTGCAATTTCTCTTCAATTAATGTCTTACATCAACAGGTTGAATTACTCTATTTCATTGTTCAAAATGTTTCTTTCTTTTCTCATTATTGCACAGAAAAATGTATAAAGACTTTTTCAGTATTGTGCAATTTAATGCCCCATTTCTCCTAAAACTTCCAAGTTATGTTTCATTTAGTGCTAGCAGAAAATGAAAGCCAGATCCCGCCCCTCTACAGAAGCTATTTAGCCGGTCCAACTGTAAATGGAAGGGCGGGACTAAGGCAGTAATGCTGGGGTTGCCTGATCCACTCCTGACCACATATCATAAATAACATAGACTATCAAAAATTAAATTATGCCCTTTTCACCACAACTTATCGACAACTTCCATGATAAGATCTTGTACATGGAAAACATTTGTTTTGAAAAAGTATTGTACTGCACTAATGTTAATAATTAATGCGCATGATTAATATTCTTTTCTATTGATACAACAGATTACATCTGGTGTCAAGAGTACCAACACCTCTGATTAATTATCAATCTTGGAGAGGAAATAAATGTGTAACAGATTTTTTGAATTTAGAAATTTGTAAAACTTGTGATATGCTATTAAATTTGTAGAACATATATCCTCACTTTCAGGGCAATGCTGTAGGGTGTGTGTGGGCCATTCTGGACATTTGGGATAGACATAATTATTAGTATAGGATGTGTACATGTCAATATGTTGGGCATACTAGAATATGGATCTGTATACTAAATTTGGTTGGATTGAACCATATTAAAGGCAGTTATATCATTGAAACCAATTAACATATCAAATTAAAGTAACCTCATAAATTAATTTGTTAATATGCAGGCATCAAATTGGCGATCAAACTCAGGCAAACACTTACCATTAGGTATATGCATATCAAATTTTGTTAAATTGGACCAGTTATTGAAAGCAAACTAAAACTTGACTAACGCACACATGTATCCAAATCAATTTCCCAATTTTCTCAAAAAAGTGACTGATAAAGATCACGAAAGCCTGTTAAAAAAACTCAAAGACAAATTATGCTAAGATATAAAAAAAATAAAAATTGTTCACTCTTTTAAACCTCAGACCTAAGACATGCTACAGCTGACTAACACTAATTTGGACATGTGACAATCTGGAAAATTGTATTTCTGGAAGCTTTAAATGATGAAATTAACGAAAATTCCCAAAGGAATTCCTGTTGCACTTCAATGTCTTCATCTAGAAAATTGGTAATTCCAGAAAGTTTTTCCAGAAACATGAGTATCCAAATCAATGAGGTTTCCCTGAATATAAAATATAACCTAATGGCATTCATACACTACATAATCCAAACATTCTTTTATCTTCAGTCAACATGTACTTTCTCCTACAACATTGAACATTCCATGTGAATGATTTTAATAATATTTGTGACTACCTATGGATCGATGAGTAATTCTGTAAGATAAATATACACACATTAGTACTTTGACTCTGCATTAAAGTGAATGAGGGTCTTCTGACAAATATACATACATAATTTAATCCTTCAACTCTCCACCCATGTAAGTCAGGTCACTTCCCTTCATATTCAAGTCAGTTAAGCACCAAATATTTGAACTTGGGTCTACTTATTGTTTTACCAAGGTCTACACAATATATTGTACTTAGGTTCAAGTTGGGTTGAATGTTAAGATATATTTCAATAAAATATAACAGCCTTTAATGCTAAATCAAAAACAATGTTGTGTTTCTACTTTCTTTTACCAACTCTTGCTTTAGTGATGTGTCAATCCTATTCTTGCTGTGACACTATTATAGTCAGAACACTGTCTCTAGGACAGTTTTGTGAGAACCCAATGCAGAAATACAACTACAATCTTTTTTCTGAGCCTTCTTCTTGCTTCGTTTTCCCCACATGTTCACCACACGGAAGCCTACAGGCAGATCCTATAGCTGTGTTTGACACTTCTTCAGTATATTTTACTCCATGCAATCTTTCCAGTCTGGCTATTCTATAGTTGGACCACTGCCATATTCAATAAAATTACAAACATTTCTAATTACTAACATTACAGACCTTTTCATCACAAATTCAATACTGTTTTCCACAAAAGTATCAAAATAACATGATTTAAAAATCAAAATTGTATAACAGTTAACTTTTACTATTAAGCCCAAATTGATGTTCTATATTACTGTAAAGGTTTCCTAACACATGTTTACACCAAGAAGCAAGACTAGTGTTTTCTCAATGTGAACAGTGAACTACTGCAGTCAACCTGACCTCCTTAAATCCTTGTTCTACAAACTTTCATAATACAGGCATGAGAAGTCCATTTTAAACATTTCAATTTCTCAAAATTTAACATAAATTTCAAATCAAATTTTTGCTTACTGCCAGTAATGCTGAGTCCAAAACATGATTTCAAAATTATGATTGAATATTTTTTCTTGAGAAATTGAAATAAGCTCATCTTTTCCACACATCACACAACTTGTTCTATCAGAATCACACAAAGCTAGGTATCTAATTCAGGACCAGGCTTAAAACTCATCGTGTCTTGTCAGCGCTTCGCCAAAGTCTGTTGCCTGACTTCCCACAAATAAGTCATAATGTTCTAGTATCTCTTCCTTTGAAAGATTTCCATCCTGAAATATGAATACAAAATGATATATTGTAAAATAAAGCAATTAGCATAGACGCTATTCTTAAAGCCTGAAATGAAAGTTACCAATGTTATTCTTTGATGTTAACATTAGCATGCCCCTGGTGAACATATAAAATCAATGTGTAATTAAGGTAAAGGGTACCACTGCTTCAGTTATAGTCACGGAAAAAGGTAAAGGGTACCACTGCTTCAGTTAGTCAAGGAAAAAGGTAAAGGGTACCACTGCTTCAGTTATAGTCACAGAAAAAGGTAAAGGATTCCATTGCTTCAGTTATAGTCACAAAAAAGGTAAAGGGTTCCACTGCTTCAGTTATAGTCACGGAAAAAGAGTTCCACTCAAAACAGTTTTTTTTACTTTTGAGTATTCTCTTTTCTATATAGATGCTGATGCAATCAAAAGGAGTTTTTCTGACTTAGAGTAACTTCCCCTGTCAAGTTTTTACATATGCTTTGTGGCCTATACATTTAACACTTACTTTGGTGTTATGTTTGAAAGGTCTGTAGTACTAGTTTGACCCTTTTATTACTTTATCTTTATATTCAAAAATTCAAAGTTTGAACAACTACAATTCTGTCAAATGCATGGCAACAAGCAATTTTTATGGAACGACCATTTCACAGCAGTGCCAATGGTACTAACATAGTTAGACTTGTAGGCACTCTTTACCTTACACAGATGTCTGTATCATTACCTTTATTGAGAAAACGTTAACAGGTTAGTAAATACCTTGGTCATGATAAATATGGCATATCATAGCGCTGCCAATTGTTGGCCTGTGATTTTAAGTATGCCAACATAAACATTTCCTTCAAACAAATAATATAAACAATAACCCTATCTTTCCTTCAAACAAATAATATTAACAATAACCCTATCTTTCCTTCAAACAAATAATATTAACAATAACCCTATCTTTCCTTCAAACAAATAATATAAACAATAACCCTATCTTTCCTTCAAACAAATAATATAAACAATAACCCTATCATTCCTTCAAACAAATAATATAAACAATAACCCTATCTTTCCTTCAAACAAATAATATAAACAATAACCCTATCTTTCCTTCAAACAAATAATATAAACAATAACCCTATCATGCTGTTATTTGATCCCTATTATTTAATCTATGGTCATCTTGCTTGGCAATTGACATCTTTGAAATCCAAGGGTTCCACGCCCAATACATAGAGGATATTTAATGGTGTCTTCAGTAATACCAAATATATTTCACAAGTGTGGCTAATATTTTGATATTTTTCAGTGATATTTTCACACTGTGAAAAATATCAGTTTTATCAAGTTGATAGAATCCGATATTTCACTGGCAAAAATGTAATAAAAAGATCTTCTGTACACCCCTTAGAATATGTCATGACAAAATTAAAGTCTCTGTAGCGCCATCTTACTGATGTTACATAAAATCAGCTTGACCCTTTGATGTACATCAAAACAATCACAAGGAAGCATAATGGTTATATTGTCTGGCTTTGAAGTCAGGTGTCATTCCTGTGATTTTTCAAATGACAGTTATTAGTCTAGCAATAAATCCTTCTTTTTTTTTTACCCGAAACTAATGAAATAGTTATTCTGTGCTTTTGACTTTCTCATGACTTAGTCCAAGGATTAAGAGAAATGTACTGAGAGCAGAAGCCTGAAGATTGGCAATTTAATGTTTTACAAAGGCCAATAGTTCATGTCAGAAAAGAAGGTGGCAACACAAGTTGATAGACAAATGAAATACTGACAGGAACTAACTGGAAAAAAATATTCTGAATAATGAATGAAAATTGGGAGGAAGGTCGGGACAGTAAGTCATCCAGTAAACCCAGTGCCGTTACCATAGCATGTGTATCAAGATTGAGATTTTTCACCGAAACCATTTCAATCAATATCAATGGTGGCACTGTGTGCTCGAATTCTTAAACATAGTATGTTGGAAAATACAACAGAAATAATAAAGTGAAAGAAAAACATAAATTTTGAAAAACTGAGGGAAAAACACAATCCGCTGAAGCAGGTTGTGTACCAACCTTATCGGAGTCAGCCTCGTATATCAAATGATTAGTCTCAGCTTCGGAATGATCGTAATCAGGGGGCACAATCCAGTTTTTAACTTCATCATTATCCATCTTGCCGTCCTTATTTATATCGCGATATTGTTCAAACTGCGTCCTCTCAGACTTAACCCATTCCGGTTCTTCCTCCCCATTTTCATTCGGATACATGTCCCCTACAAAGGTCAAAGGTCAATTAGTAGTGAAGAGGTGAAAAAAGTAAAATGTGCGACCCCAAAGGGCTAACTAACCCTATCTTCATCAGCTGAGTTAACCAGGTGTTTGGCCTCGACACCGCTGTGGTCAAAATCCTCGGGCATTATCCACTCCCTGACCTCATCGCTGTCCAACTTTCCGTCACCGTTACGGTCACGATGGCTCTGAAACTGTTCCCTCTCACTGATCACCCAATCGGGCTCCCCGTCATGAGGGGCTTCATCATGTTCATCATCTTCATCATCTTCATCGTAAACGTCGCCTAACACATGGCAACAACAGTCAAACATACATCATACCCTGACCACACACAGGACACCTGTGATTTTCTACTTCAATATCTTCAAAATTGGATATTTTCCCCAAATCAATGCATTTTTTTTGTGTTTTTAATTTTATAACAAAAAATTCATTATCTCAAAATGTTATGGAGAAAATAAATCAGAACAAGAAGCCCAAGGTTCTTACCGCTCACATGAGGTTACCAGTAAAACAAAAATATCTCGGCCAATCAGAGGCCATGGTGGCCATCTTAGATTATCAAATCTGCACTTTTCTGCATTTTAAATTTATATGCATCATATATGCTTATTGAAGGAATAGAATAGCCATCTTTAAGGTAGGGTCAGTGGTATCCAACGTAACAATTATGATATAATGATGATGACATCAACAATGGTCTTATGGCTTTCCGAGCTGATATGAACACCATCTGAATGTGTATATAGTGGTAATGCCATACCGTAGTCAATCCTGCCTGAGGAATGACAATAGCTGTCTTATTACATCAATGGTAATGCACTTACTTATGTACTCGTCTAAACTGATAAATCCATCTTTATCTTTGTCAATATCTTCCATTGTTTCCTGTAATGAAAATCAGCATAATTGTTTTACTATCAAATTAACTAAGTTTCTATCATATCCTATTAACATCACTTCTTTTATACCTACCTTTTTTACAATTTTGCTTTTTGTGAATTAACTTTTTCACCACTATAGACTATAATAGACTCATATAGATCAATGTATGGTAGAGTCTACTAAAGCTACCTAGGGGTGAAAGGGTAAGGGATTTGTGATCTTAAAAAGATGATTTTAGCCTAACAATCAGTGTTCCCATTATTTTAGTGTATCAGTACTAATGAAGCTAACAATTAGTTTAGTGTATCAGTACTAATGAAGCTAAATAGTATTTTAGTGTATCAGTACTAATGAAGCTAACCAGTATTTTAGTATATCAGTACTAATGAAGCTAACAAGTATTTTAGTATATCAGTACTAATGAAGCTAACCAGTATTTTAGTGTATCAGTACTAATAAAGCTAACCATTAGTTAAGTGTATCAGTACTAATGACTCTAACCATTAGTTTAGTGTATCAGTACTAATGAAGCTAACCAGTATTTTAGTATATCATTACTAATGAAGCTAACCATTAGTTTAGTGTATCAGTACTAATGAAGCTAACCAGTATTTTAGTGTATCAGTACTAATGAAGCTAACCATTATTTTAGTGTATCAGTACTAATGAAGCTAACCAGTATTTTAGTGTATCAGTACTAATGAAGCTAACCATTAGTTTAGTGTATCAGTACTAATGAAGCTAACCATTAGTTTAGTGTATCAGTACTAATGACTCTAACCTTTATTTTAGTGTATCAGTACTAATGAAGCTAACCAGTATTTTAGTGGATCAGTACTAATGAAGCTAACCACTATTTTAGTGTATCAGTACTAATAAAGCTAACCTTTAGTTTAGGGAATCAGTACTAATAAAGCTAACCAGTATTTTAAAATTTCCGTTCTAATGAAGCTTACCACTATTTTAGTGTATCAGAACTAATGAAGCTAACCATTATTTTAGTGTATCAGTACTAATAAAGCTAACCTTTAGTTTAGGGAATCAGTACTAATAAAGCTAACCACTATTTTAGTGTATCAGAACTAATGAAGCTAACCATTATTTTAGTGTATCAGTACTAATGAAGCTAACCAGTATTTTAGTGTATCAGTACTAATGAAGCCAACCATTATTTTAGTTTATCAGTACTAATAAAGCTAACCAGTATTTTAAAGTTTCGGTACTAATGAAGCTAACCACTATTTTAGTGTATCAGTACTAATGAAGCTAAGCACTATTTTAGTGTATCAGTACTTATGAAGCTAACCACTATTTTAGTGTATCAGAACTAATGAAGCTAACCATTATTTTAGTGTATCAGTACTAATAAAGCTAACCATTAGTTTAGTGTATCAGTACTAATGAAGCCAACCATTATTTTAGTTTATCAGTACTAATAAAGCTAACCAGTATTTTAAAGTTTCGGTACTAATGAAGCTAACCCCTATTTTAGTGTATCAGTACTAATAAAGCTAACCATTAGTTTAGTGTATCAGTACTAATGACGCTAACCATTAGTTTAGTGTATCAGTACTAATGAAGCTAACCAGTATTTTAGTGTATCAGTACTAATGAAGCTAAGCACTATTTTAGTGTATCAGTACTTATGAAGCTAACCACTATTTTAGTGTATCAGTACTAACGAAGCTAACCAGTATTTTAGTGTATCAGTACGAATAAAGCTAACCAGTATTTTAGAGTTTCGGTACTAATGAAGCTAACCAGTATTTTAGTGTATCAGTCCTAATGAAGCTAACCATTAGTTTAGTGTATCAGTACTAATGAAGCTAAATAGTATTTTAGTGTATCAGTACTAATGAAGCTAACCACTATTTTAGGGTATCAGTACTAATGAAGCTAACCAGTATTTTAGTGTATCAGTCCTAATGAAGCTAACCATTAGTTTAGTGTATCAGTACTAATGAAGCTAAATAGTATTTTAGTGTATCAGTACTAATGAAGCTAACCATTATTTTAGAGTATCAGTACTAATGAAGCTAACCACTATTTTAGGGTATCAGTACTAATGAAGCTAACCAGTATTTTAGTATATCATTACTAATGAAGCTAACTATTAGTTTAGTGTATCAGTACTAATGAAGCTAACCACTATTTTAGTGTATCAGTACTAATGAAGCTAACCACTATTTTAGGGTATCAGTACTAATGAAGCTAACCAGTATTTTAGTATATCATTACTAATGAAGCTAACTATTAGTTTAGTGTATCAGTACTAATGAAGCTAAATAGTATTTTAGTGTATCAGTACTAATGAAGCTAAGCACTATTTTAGTGTATCAGTACTAATGAAGCTAAGCACTATTTTAGTGTATCAGTACTAATGAAGCTAACCGGTATTTTAGTGTATCAGTACTAATGACGCTAACCAGTATTTTAGTGTATCAGTACTAATAAAGCTAACCTTTAGTTTAGGGAATCAGTACTAATGAAGCTAACCAGTATTTTAGTGTATCAGTGCTAATGAAGCTAACCAGTATTTTAGTGTATCAGTACGAATAAAGCTAACCAGTATTTTAGAGTTTCGGTACTAATGAAGCTAACCAGTATTTTAGTGTATCAGTGCTAATGAAGCTAACCAGTATTTTAGTGTATCAGTCCTAATGAAGCTAACCATTAGTTTAGTGTATCAGTACTAATGACGCCAACCATTAGCTTAGTGTATCAGTACTAATAAAGCTAACCATTAGTTTAGTGTATCAGTACTAATGAAGCTAACCAGTATTTTAGTGTATCAGTACTAATAAAGCTAACCAGTATTTTAGAGTTTCGGTACTAATGAAGCTAACCAGTATTTTAGTGTATCAGTACTAATGAAGCGAACCAGTATTTTAGTGTATCAGTCCTAATGAAGCTAACCATTAGTTTAGTGTATCAGTACTAATGACGCTCACCATTAGTTTAGTGTATCAGTACTAATGACCCTAACCATTAGTTTAGTGTATCAGTACTAATGAAGCGAACCAGTATTTTAGTGTATCAGTCCTAATGAAGCTAACCATTAGTTTAGTGTATAAGTACTAATGACGCTAACCATTAGTTTAGTGTATCAGTACTAATGAAGCTAACCAGTATTTTAGTATATCATTACTAATGAAGCTAACCATTAGTTCAGTGTATCAGTACTGATAAAGCTAACCATTAGTTTAGTGTATCAGTACTAATGACGCTAACCATTAGTTTAGTGTATCAGTACTAATGACGCCAACCATTAGCTTAGTGTATCAGTACTAATAAAGCTAACCATTAGTTTAGTGTATCAGTACTAATGACGCTAACCATTAGTTTAGTGTATCAGTACTAATGACGCTAACCATTAGTTTAGTGTATCAGTACTAATGATGCTAACCATTAGCTTAGTGTATCAGTACTAATGAAGCTAACCATTAGTTTATTGTATCAGTACTAATGAAGCTAACCAGTATTTTTGTGTATCAGTACTAATGAAGCTAACCATTATTTTAGTATATCATTACTAATGAAGCTAACTATTAGTTTAGTGTATCAGTACTAATGAAGCTAACCAGTATTTTAGTTTATCAGTACTAATAAAGCTAACCATTAGTTTAGTATATCAGTACTAATGACGCTAACCATTATTTTAGTGTATAAGTACTAATGACGCTAACCATTAGTTTAGTGTATCAGTATTAATGAAGCTAACCACTATTTTAGTGTATCAGTACTAATGAAGCTAACTATTAGTTTAGTGTATCAGTACTTATGAAGCTAACCACTATTTTAGTGTATCAGTACTAATGAAGCTCACCAGTATTTTAGTGTATCAGTGCTAATGAAGCTAACCATTAGTTCAGTGTATCAGTACTAATGAAGCTAACCAGTATTTTTGTGTATCAGTACTAATGAAGCTAACCATTATTTTAGTATATCATTACTAATGAAGCTAACTATTAGTTTAGTGTATCAGTACTATGAAGCTAACCACTATTTTAGTGTATCAGTACTAATGAAGCTCACCAGTATTTTAGTGTATCAGTGCTAATGAAGCTAACCATTAGTTCAGTGTATCAGTACTAATGAAGCTAACCAGTATTTTTGTGTATCAGTACTAATGAAGCTAACCACTATTTTAGTGCACCAGTACTAATGAAGCTCACCAGTATTTTAGTGTATCAGTGCTAATGAAGCTAACCATTAGTTCAGTGTATCAGTACTAATGAAGCTAACCGGCATTTTAGTGTATCAGTACTAATGACGCTAACAATTAGTTTAGTGTATCAGTACTAATGAATTTAGTGTATCAGTACTAATGAAGCTAACTATTAGTTTAGTGTATCAGTACTAATGACGCGAACCATTAGTTTAGTGTATCAGTACTAATGACTCTAACCTTTATTTTAGTGTATCAGTACTAATGAAGCTCACCAGTATTTTAGTGTATCAGTGCTAATGAAGCTAACCATTAGTTCAGTGTATCAGTACTAATGAAGCTAACCATTAGTTTAGTGTATTAGTACTAATGACGCTAACCATTAGTTTAGTGTATCAGTACTAATGAAGCTAACCAAACTGTCGTGGATGGATGAGTGGATGCCTTGAATGAACTGTCGGGAAAATCAAACACTTCATGCTCCCTCCACTAATGTGGTGGCGACATAAAAACTGAAAGTTGGATCCCCACTTAAATTAGGATAGGGAATGTGTTAAGGCAAAACTATTCCATTATGATATTAATGCATAGACAGTGCTTCAGACCTGAAGAGTCTATAAACAATCAAAAAGAGAAAAAATTAGGTTATGCACCGAGATTCAATGTCGATATAGATTGTTATTATTTGCCTAAAGTGTTCGATATTTAGGAAACACAGCTTACCTGTACAACAACATCCCTCATGTGGTCGGAGTCTTCAGGATGAAGAAAATGAACAAATTCCTCCTTGCTTAGCTTTTGATCTTTGTCAGTATCAGCGGCAGTCCAACGTCGCTGGTCCCTTTCTATTGTCTCCTTGTAGCTGAAGGTTGGAGAATCGGCATTATCAGGGCCTGAAAAAGTAGACAATGTAATAAATATTGAAAACAAGCTGTTTTATACCCATATAACAAAATTTCTTTCTTAGTTTAGGGATGAAATTTAAAATGGGCTTTTTGGAAAGAAGGCTGAATTTCCTTTATTTGTGTAGAGTAATTGCTATGAGAAAAAGTGTTTTTTGTCTTGCAGTTTGAAAAAAGATTTTGATCAGTTAAAAGCTTTCACCTCTGAATTACTGTATTTTTTTTTATTCAGTTACAGGATTTAAGAATGTTAATGCTATTATTTATTTAAACTTGTATAGGTAAATGCCAGTCATACTTGAATTTAATATGAGCTGAATTAACAGGAATCTATCAGCTGTTTTTTGATGTTTTAAAAAAAGTACTAAGTGTATCGTCATTAACAGATATGATGCCTTGGACTCAAAAACATAGTCATCATTAACAACGATGAAGTCTGGGACTCGGAAGTTCAACATCATCAACAGTGATGAAGTCTGGGACTCAGAAGTTCAACATCATCAACAATGATGAAGTCTGGAACACAGAAATTCAACATCATCAACAGTGATGAAGTCTGTGACACAGAAGTTCAACATCATCAACAGTGATGAAGTCTGGGACTCAGAAGTTTAACATCATCAACAGTGATGAAGTCTGTGACACAGAAGTTCAACATCATCAACAGTGATGAAGTCTGGGACTCAGAAGTCTAACATCATCAACAGTGATGAGGTCTGGGACTCAGAAGTTTAACAACATCAACAGTGATGAAGTCTGGGACTCAGAAGTTTAACATCATCAACAGTGATGAAGTCTGGGACACAGAAGTTCAACATCATCAACAGCGATGAAGTCTGGGACTCAGAAGTTCAACATCATCAACAGTGATGAAGTCGGGGATTAAAATATCAATGGAAGTGCAACTCTTCATAAAGTCAAAATGAAAGTTTGGACAAGCAAATGAATCAATAAGATTATTTGATTAAGGACTGACATCAGGAAAACTCTCATTCTCTGAATGGGTATAACTAATGGGTATAACTAATGCATAAGAAGACTGGAGATGTTAATGACTTGGACAATAATGTAGTCCCATAAAGAGAGCGGTACTATTACAGAACTTAGAATGAACAGATGAGGAGATCAACATGCAGAGTTTACCAGTGAGCTTTTGAGATTTGAATTCAAGGTGTCGAAAGGGTGACTAGAGTTGTTTTTAGAGACAAATTAATATCCTGTCATTTGGCGACAAGCCGAGAGAAGTGATGTCCCCACCAACACTGCTCAGGATTATAAAGCAAAAGTGTCAACATATTGCAGTAATACTGTTATAAGGATGTTTTAACACAAAGTGCATTTACAATTCAGCTGTGATCTGTTGTAGTGATAGCATGTGAGATATAACAGAGAGTAACTGTAAATACTTAACTAATGTAATTCCAGTGTTTATGTACATGTCTGTAAGTATATATTTTATAGACATTTTTCATTGGCATGTTATAAGTTATGATTTACATGAACTTTGTACACTTGTTAAAAAATGTTATAAATTATTTTGTATTTTGTCCTATATACTTGAATCTTCATTAACAAGCCACCTGCCCATCCTGGAAATTTCAGGGGTTGCCCTAATTATATCCTCAACACACCTAGAATATGTCATGACAAATTGAAGGCTCTGTATGCACAACCTCATGGCTGAAACAAGAAGACTAGTCTGATCCTATGATGTACATAAAAAAAATGGTGCAGCAGTGTGACGATAAAATTGACTGGCTTTGAAGTAGAGTCTTGTTCCTCTGTAATCTTCGAAGGACAGGTATGTTTTATGATATATTCAAGGGGTGCAGAGAAAGTGAGTGAGCATTACCCTTGGAATTTAGAAGATGCCAACTTTAAGCAGCCAATGCAACATCCCAATCCCATAAGGTGACCATTAACACAGGTTTTACAGCTGTGTAACTAAGAATATCCCCTCCCCTATAACTGCACCAGATGACCTAAGCCAGGCCTGTGAGCGAGACACATACTATCCTCGTATCCATAGGTTCTCTTCATGTAGGAATTCCAGTGTAGTGCGTCTCCCTCCAGGTCATGATCCTTCCACATGCGCTCCGTATCTGTGACTATGTAGCGTCTCTGGATATACTGAATCCAGTTCTTAAGCTCCTCCTCCGTCACTTTCCCATCCTTGTCCTTGTCTATTTTGTCCACAATTTGCCTATCAACAAATGTTTATACACAACTGTAAGTCTTTTCTCTGACAATAGATCAATATCTAACCTACATTTTCAAATTTTTGTTCACTCTTTGCAACCTATTTATAGCAACATGAAATTTGTATCACCCATTGGTGCAATACAGAATATCCAGCCACATCTCTGTAGCTAAACGTAACTCAGCTTTAACTGAAACCTAGTACATGGATTGAGAATGACTTCCTATTTCTTGATCAATCATCTTTTTGTTCAGTTTTTTTTAAATGATTGATAATTAACAAATGACCAATTAATTTTGTATAATTTTGATATGCATTGCATTAATTTTGCTTGTGTTACATTTCTCTTACCTCTTATGTACATTTAATATCTGTAGGATGATATGCTGAGCATCTTAGATCGTATATTTTGTTCTTTGTGTGATTACCTAGTGGTTATTAACATTCAGTATGTTAAAAGGCATAAATAGATGAAGGAAAGGGAAGATAGGAGAGTAGTCTTGTTATTTATGATTATATAACCTGACAAAAAAATACTGACTTTTTAATTTTGTAACAACACTTGCAGAGCTTCCTGTTGCCCCTTGGCATTTACATATTGTAGCTATTTAAATTTGGAGGGTCAAAATATATGTCCAATAGAGGTTTCCTGTCAAACCTGGCTTTGAGTTGGAGCTATATCTGTCAGAAACAACTTTCAAGTGTCTATTGAAAGCACTGTAATACTGAAGCAGGTATAAATATATGTTATTGAAACAAGAATTCCACAGGAGTGGATGTGTCGCCTGCGCAGGCAACTCTTATGAGATTATGAAGATGGGGTCTATTTATATAAACGTTGACTTCGATCAACCCAAGGGATGTTGAGTTAATAGCAGAGAGACAGTTTTTCTAGTTCTATTAGACCTTTGGACCTTACCAAGTAAGCACTATTGGTAAGGAAGCACTAGTACTGTTTAAAGTTAGAGTTCAATCAAGTTCAAGGGAACTCAAGTTATGGCACGGAAACCTTGTTTTGGATGACGCAACCGACGACACCGACGACGACAAAGTAATACCTATATGTCTCCTCGCGTTGCAGGCGATACAACAACTAACAAAAGGAAATGAAATTCCAATATTCAAAATGTCAGGGTATGGTTTCTTTTCATTCATGTTATTTTACTTCTTTTCTTTAATTCAAGTGTATGTAACAAATGATAAGATTTTCACAACTGAAAACTAAAAACTTCAAAAATAAGTTTCCTAAAATATGTCTTTAAAATTAATCACTGTTTTGTTATTACTTCAGGTTTTGCTCCGATATGTGGAGGTCATAAACTGGAACATTTAATCAGTATTCGTGTTTTGACACAGCTGTTTTCATTTATAATTGATGGTTGTATGTTATTTTTGTCCCAAACTTCTAAAAGCCAGTTGAGAATTTTGTTTATGTCAAGTTTCTGAAACACCAAAAACCTGTATTTATGAAGGTTAGGCCTAAAATCATTTGAACTGTTCTTTCTGAATTCAATGATAGATGAATCGATTTTTTTCGAAAACCAAGGTCAAGTTCAAGGTCAAGTCAACATTCCTACTGGAACCCCTATGTTGTAATCTATTAACGAGATCTGAGAATTGAAACAAGAACAAGCTTCCAATATTTAAGTGTTATTTTTAAGCTCAAGTAACATGATGCAAATACTCCATCCTTGACATCATTTATCTGTGATCATCATTTGTTTTTGGAAAGCAAAAAGAGAACTAAGGTTATTAAATACTGACAGTGGAATGGAACTGTTTTAATGCTTTAACCAGTGGCCCAGTGTTGGAATCTTACCCCAAACGTTCCTTGCTCTCTTCTGGTGACAAATCCTCAAAGTCTTGAGCTTCTTCCTTGCCAAGGAATGCCTCATGATCATAATCTTCATTGTGTTCATCATCCTCATCTTCGTGTTGGAGGTCACTCAGTTTCTACAGAAAAAAAATAATGGTTAGTCGATGACTGGCAATAACATACACACCAGATTTAAAAGATAATTTGACCTTAGACCTAAAGGTGAAGGTCATACTGACCTCATTACAGTTCTCTACACACTTCTGACACAGAAATATGTTCAAGTTCATCAAGATACCTAAATGGTTTGAAATATTTTGCACTTACTTGAATTTGGCCTTGAAGTGAAGGAAATGCTGACCTAATCAGAGTATACAGATCATCTCCTGTACATAATGCAGTCATACTTTTAAGCTTATTTCAGTTATCTTTATATTTTAAAATGTACAGCCCCAACAATATTTTACTTTAACTGTCACACTTATCTGACCTTTGACCATAACACTGAAGAAGGCCACGTGCACGTATGCAGATACATAGTCACACCAAATGTTATCAAGATATTTCTAACAGTAACACTTTAAAAATTTATGACTTGGACAAGTTCCAATAAAAAGAATCAAAGTACTGGAATTACTGAAGGAGAAGTTAGTCAGATATGGAAAATAATGAAATGTAAAAGGTGAAATTTTAAATAAAGCAATTAAAGATGCCAACACGATTATTGATTTACATTCAAGAGCAAGTACTAATTTTTTAAACTTAGAACTACTAACCATCAAAGTTACCCGCCTATCAAACTCTGGAACTTCAGATAATTTTCAACTAGAACTGTCGCCAGGATGGCTGACTTATTCCTGACAGACAACCTGATTCTAGTATACCCCCACCACACCTTACTTCATTGATTATGATGGTGTACGTTAATCCAGACAGACAGACAGACGGACGGACAACCTTATTCCAGTATACCCCCACCACGCCTTACTTCATTGATTATGATGGTGTACGTTAATCTTTAATCAATGGCAGTGCATGTCGACTTCTGACCACAATCCATTATATTTGGAAAAAAAATTGCATTGCTAGATTATTTTTGTAGTCGACAAGTCTCAAGTCAAATTGCACTTTATAGGTGTGTGCCATCAAAATGTGTTCAGTAGGTATTTATCAAGTTTATGATTGCTTTCATATAACAAAGGAAAGGAAAACCAAGTATACATTCATGAGGACATTTATTACTATCAGAATATTATCAATTACACAAGCAATGCATCATTTTCTTCAATAACATCGCCTTCACAATTTATAACAAAACGACAGTTACTGTTATGCCTTAATCATCAGTTTCGACATAACATTAGCGATTTAAAGTGCAATCTGAGAAGATAATCAAGTGATTTAATTTCTGTTATTCACATGTTCATATTATACATAATAAAATTACCGATAAAAAAAAGCTATAATTTATTGAGCTTGGCTGTTATGAAAAATATTTCTTGTAGTGACACGGTTGTCCTCAACCGTAACTACTATCTCGCAGTTGTCTCCCTTCCAACAGTTTTTTTTTATAATTTCATAAATGTTCAAAAATTAATGTACATTTGTAGGGGAATATAGTATAAAGATTTAAAAGTCAATATTCTNTATAATTTCATAAATGTTCAAAAATCAATGTACATTTGTAGGGGAATATAGTATAAAGATTTAAAAGTCAATATTCTTATTGTCATTGAAAATAGTGTAAACTGAAATGTAAACAACATTATCAGGATATTTGAATAAGTTAGCATTTCTTACATATACTAGGAACGAAGTGCTACAAAAGTTGTCTCCCTAGCATTTTCAGTAACTGAGGTTACAACCAGACGTCACAAATTCTGTACTTTGATTGGAAAGAAATTACTGATGTCACATCTGATAGGTGATCTCAATATGGCAGGCTTTATAAACGCATCCGTAAAAAGCAGAAGAACATAAGTTCACGTACAAATGCAATAATGATGTAGAAAATCTGAATATTTTTTATTTCTTTTTATATCCACTATACCTTTTGTTTTAAAATGACCATAAAATGTCTTTTACAAGGTTTAAATTTTTATTTACATACTTCATATGAAACTTACTTCTGAAATCGTTATCTTGAAATACAACAATTTTCAGGATATTTTTGGTAATTAGACCCTCAAGCCTAAGTACAAACTGGGAAAAATGATAGGAAAAGCCAGGATAAAAAGGGAATTTTCAAATGTTGATAATTGTAAAATGGAATAGCTATACAAAATATAAATTGTTTTCCTACTTTAAATATATCCTAACTGTGCTCATAAATTCCATAAATTAAAAGAAAGACAGAAAACCGCCATTTTTTTTAATATAACTAGCATATATATATGTAATTCATCTATGCAAATTGGGAAGTTGGGGCCTATTCTAAACTACTGTAGGTATATATGAATCCATTTAACAGACCAAAAAGGGATGATGAATCCCTGAAATACACTTTTTAATTGAAAACAGAAGAAAGCCCCTAAAAAGCACTTCAAAACAGACAATTGGCAAGGACATGCAGTGTTCCCCCTTAGTACAAAGGGTACATTGTACCCCCAGGTAAGGAATTGTTGGGGTACAAACAGTAAGCTGCGAAGCGACGAGGTTGGGGGAGGGCATAGTGAATAAACGGATACTTCAGGAATGCACGTACTGGAAAGTTTTTTCATAATTCTTGGAAACGTTTAAACAGCACTGACATAACGTCCGGAAAAGGAAATTTAAAACACTGCCCTCTGGTGATCATTGATGGTAATTTTAAAGTACTTTGTTTGACCAGACTCTTTAATTACAAGTGATCAAGCGTCTGGTTTAACGAGACTACTGGTTGAACGAGACTATCTATGATAACGACAACATTATTCAGTGTTGGGAAATAACCGCTGTTGACTCCTGGAACACATGCTTCTGATTGGCTTAGGTATATATATATTTGGAGTTCTAAATTTAGCGCACAGAGAACATGGTCGGTCGATGTACCCACATCGGTTGACTAGAGATTACATTAGACACGATACAAGAACACTATATACAATGTATATATCGTCAGAAATTGCAAAGTATATATTGAGAAGCTAGAAGGACTTTTACATATATTTTAAACTTTCTTTACGTGCCATTTGACATCTTTTTCTTTACTTACAACATACGTACGAATCCAAAATTTCATGCATGATTTCTTACTTGTTTACCTGAATTACTATCTCCATAATGGGGAACACTGTCCATGCATAATCCAATAACAGTGTTCCCATTGTACAATAGATTAAGTGGTCCATATTATATAGGTTTTCAGGATTTGTACCCCAGCAGGTACTTTGTTATATAGAACGGCTGATGAAAAATGGGGGTAAAACCAACTGATTTGGGCCTATGACATAGGTTGAACAAACCCTAGTCACATGGACGAGACTTACATTTTCATGTACACGCTTGTTGTGGTCAGTCTTAGGGATGGCTGAACTTGATGCCACTACCATCAGCGCAACAATGAGGCAAACTGTCAACAACTTCATGGCCAAGGGACACCTGGACATCTGAAATATAATACTTGTATGTAGGAGCATAACAAATACAAACTAATATTTTTACAAAAGATACAGGAAATACATAAATAGGCTGTACTTTATTACCGGTACATGATGCTGCAGTGATATATATATATTAATTTTACTTTTATGGAATTTTAAGGAATAGAGACAAAACATCCAAAAAAGCAGCAATGAAGGCTTCATTTCTAAATTGCTGAAATAATGCCAATGCTCCGTAATATTAATAATGACATTTCTTTGAAATATAGCTGTGAAATAAACTTCTAATTTTAAAGTCTTCTGGACTTTGAAATTATTTAAGTTCTTGTTAAATATTTTTCACCTTAACAAAAAAAAATTTAGTGCAGTTCTTAAATCAATAGAAACACTAGTTCTATTGAATTCTATTCCACTTCATAGACCAAAATGTCAATAAGTCATTTCCTTAGATCATGTGTATGGAATCTGATTTAGTGACAAGTATACAATTATAGTTGTGAAGGAAGAAATTCTCCTTAGTTACTGTTCTTCCTTAATTGTTTCACTTCCAGTGCAAGAGCGAGATCTGTGAATATTTTTAGAGAGATTTTGTCATAAATAGTGAGGATTTTTCTCTGAATTAGTGAGAAATTTGTGAGACATTTAAAACAGAAATAATACTGCATATAACATAGTATTATCTCATTTGTGTATTCTGAAGCCTCAAATTACTTTGTTGTAACCAAAATCAGAGATTTATTGATATTTTTAAGAACTTAAGGGAGGTTTATACTGGATAAAGCTTTCAACATTTAAATGTAAATATAATAATATTGGAGGACAAATGAAGGATAACTTTAAAAAAAAAACACATTGATTCAAGTCCATTCAACAAACTGACATGAAAAAAAGAAATTACCAGTAACTTATTGGTGAATTTTGCTACTGATTTAAAATAGTACATGCCAGCTTTGTGATCTTGGCAGCTTCATTCATCTTCTCCTTTGAAATCAGATCAAATTTCAGCTGATGCAACTCCCCAAAATGTTGCTGGAGAGGACCATTATCTGGGTCATGACTCATATATATTACTTACTCAAGTCCCTTCCTTTCATACTTTTTCCAAGTCTCCAACAATAAAAATTCTTAACCAATATAAATACATGCCAATGCCTTGAATACCTACTACTGTTATTTATCACTGTATAGGTCCTGCCCTTTAAGACTTACAGAAAATTCCAATGGTAAACGTGACTGACAGACAACCTAAACAATGCAAACCAATATAGTATCTCAATCATTTGCAGTTTTGTAACATTTAGTTTGAAGTGCAAAGGATAACATAAACCACCTTCATCTCGTATAACGGTAGCATACATGCATGCATGGAAAAAGAATAAATGTGCAAGATTTAGCTTTTGATACCAATGTGAATATTTACATCACAGATAAAGGTCAAATTTCAAATATAGGAGACCTTTCAATACTACTTAATAATTTCTTAACTAAATATATAATATATTATGATTTTTAACCAATAACCAAAATAATAATAACTAAATATTTATCATATATATATTATCATTTTTTACCCAATAACCCATCAAAATTAAATCAGATTAATATTTGGTCTGAACAAAAAGAGAAATGAAAGTTAATTCTCTTCTGTATGGTCATTCATTCAAACATATTGTATTGACATCAAACATTCAAAGGTATTGGGCACAACTTGCCACTTTGAGAATTTTTATTTTATAAATTTGATGTATTTTCTCTTATACTACAGAATATATTATACATATATATCAAAACATGTTATTATAGCAGACAAGAAACGACTTGACTGGTGATCAATGAACTGACAACTAGAAAATGTATCCTAAATGGCTCAGCCTCATCAGCTGATGCAACCACGTACAGCACTTCACACTAGGACACTTGCCTTCTTTAAAAGCTGACGTGGCAATCCCCTTTCTTCTGTACAACAGTATTGGCTAAAATGACGATTAACCTTCCTCAAATGAACATTTTCAAATTATTATTGAGTATTCATCTTGCGTAGCGGTAAACAGTTCATTCATTTATCACTGAACACTTAAGCTGGTAAAGCAAACAGCATATTTCATTTGTAACGTCAATATATAGGTATATAACGATAGTTTCAATTGAGAGGTATTGTCTCAGCGTAAGATACGAATTACAACTCGTCTATGAAAAGCTAAAGAAAAAAGCAGTAATGGATTGGATACTATAAAAATCTCATGCATGAGTGATTACATAAATGACGTTTACAAAGAATATGACAGCAAAATCAACGTGTGTACCGTACCCGGTACTTTGCAACACCACCGAAAGCAGGGCTACGAAAGATGAAATCAAGCCATCTTGCCAATTGCAACGTACCTTGAATGATCCAGTCGGAAAAAAGCCTTCTGGCGCTCAAAAGTCACTCGAAATGTTGCACAATCGGCCGGCGAATGATTCGCAGAGCCACTTTATCTTACTGTTAAATTTTGATACTTACAGAGTTATGGCACGTTGTGAATTTGGCCTGAGGTCCCTTGAAATTAACCTCGTGTATATAAGCCAATCAAAAATGATAACAATAGCACGTGATCTTTATAAGCCAATCATTTCTTGTCAACGTGGAGGGGGGCTTCCACTGATAACACCGAACGGACCTGTAACCGACCACATCATTGGATGTTAAAACAGCTTCCGGTTGCCTGCGTGGCACTGAAATCCGATCTGTCAAACAGGGAATAAAATGGGGCAATGGGGGTTAATCTATGGATTTATAGAACAATGCAATAGCTTCCAAATTGAAACATATCCAATGCAGCCAACTTAAAATAAAACATCAGCGTGAATGTTGAAAAACATGCGCACAGATAAAAAACATCTCAAAATTTGTTTTAAAATTTCTACTTTCGATTTGATAATCTAGACCTGTACATGCCCGAGAAAAACGACGGGAGATTTTCTTCTTCGAAAAAAATTGGTTTTGACATTTTCTTATCGGAGATTTGCGCAGAAAAAAATCTTTGGTACATACTTTCTATGAATTTAGGTTTTGATCAAACCTTACCTTCTTACATTTTTTCAAGCATAACAAGGATATATGACTTACTTAAATTGTTACTTGGCAAGCCCAGTTGGTCTGGTCTGACCACGGAGGTATGTGGTTAAAAATCTGTCACTGTATGGAAGTTTGTGTGCATAGCATACTATTTCGGAGTAGAGATCAATGGTATTTCCCAATTTCTTACTGGACCTTATCTAAATATATATAATAAAGCACAAAACATAACATCAGTAGATTTAAAATGATAGTTTAGCGGGCAGCAGGCAATCTAAAATAAATAACATGAGCCGATGGAGTCGGTGCAAATTAATCAGAATTCATATATAATTCAATTAAAAAACCATATGTATTGCTGAACTTAATTAGGGCAAGAGACTTAAGCACAATTAAAAGTTAATTAGGGCAAGAGACTTAAGCACAATTAAAAGTTAATTCAACTTATCAATTCCTCCTCCCAACATGTAACAAACAAAATTGCTTTCAAATCAAGTTCAACATTATGATTCAAATTATTAAAGTTTAAGGTCATACTACACCTTTCCTTTTAAGGTATGTGATATTTTAGTTTCGTACACACGATGGATAGCGCCACCTCTGGTATATTCAGATTATGTACAAAATACGGAAACAACGAAAGAAAACAGCTGCAACAACAATCAAAATCGTGTCCCAGAACAAATCTGTGTCGTGTATGAAGACTATCATAAACATTATACACATATTTTTAGAGATTTTCCATTTTATCCGCACTGTACAGGTTAATTCTGTGTAAACTGCCAAAGCATAAAGTAATAAATACATTGACTCCTCATAAGTTTGTCAATATGAAACACTAACAAAAATATTTTTATGAAGAAATATTGACTGTTATAAAAAAAAAAGTGATTGTACTGTAACAATTTGTCGAAATGCAAGGAGTCTTTGGGCGTGCTTGTTAAGGACTATGATGGTGACATCCCAAAACAGAAGAAATAGACTGACGAACACTATAGACCAAACAGACATATTTTATCAGGATTTGTACAACTGATGATCACGAACGACGAAGGTACGCAGATATTTTATACTCCGAGTGAATTAAATGATAAATACAACATATACACACAGACTTCTTATACAGCTAGTATTATGGTATTTTATCAGCAATGCGAAGATATATTGCACTAAACAATATTTATTAAAATACAAACATTGTCATGTTTTACACTATTATACCTTTAAATCTACATTAGTTTAACATAATAAGGGGAATAAATATTTGTCAGTATACAGCTAGTACTTACAAAATGAGATTTTTCAAACAGGTAGAAGAAAATGGGGACAAGTATTTGATTCTGATGATGACAAATGGACAAATATATTTCAGAATCCTTTTTGCGTAACTTCCAAAACAAAACTTCAGTGGTATACCACATGAGGCTCGTCTCACCGATAATAACCAATTACGTGTTTTAGCAAAGGGAAACAATTATACATTCTTGGAATGTGACAAAGTACAGAATGTTTTACAAACTTTAGAAAAAAATATTGGAGGCGTTGATCATTCCTTTCTCCTTTAATAAATATTCCTTCGTTTTTGGTATAACAACACAAACAGATAGACTTGATAATGAAATCATACTTATAATCAAACAGTATATTTACAAAACAAGTTGAAATGTGCCTACAATAAATGCACTACTAGATACTATAACAACGGATCATTATACTCAATGCAAAACATATTGCATATAGAAAAGGATATTTTTCTGTTAGGAAATTTCAAAATGAATATGGGAAAAATGAAATGAATATGGGAAAAATGGAATGAATAGCCTTCTTGAGTTATGAAATCTCTATTTGCCTTTTATAGAATATATCTATTTTTGATGTGTTATCTGACAGTGCTGAGCCGAAATGATCAAACCCTAGAATGTTTCAGTATTTCAGCTTGTTCTTTCTGTTCGTATTGCCTACGTTTCTGTTCTATCAATGCAATGCAACTTGAAACATGAAAATAAAAACTAAGATAAAAATAAGAATATTGCAGGTAAACATAGTGCTTCGGAAGTGTGAGATAAATTGACAGCCTACAACCCAGAGATCTACGAGGGAAATTAAAGCTACATCAGCTCCCCTACCGCTTACCACTCAATTTCACTCAATATAACACGTTATATACGTCTCTGAATGGAAGAAAGGTTAAATAACTGTCATACAAATGGGAGATAAGTGTGAGGCGAGTAACCCTAGGCTAGCAAGGGAGATAAGTGTGAGGCGAGAAACCCTAGGCCAGTAAGGGAGATAATAGTGAGGCGAGTAACCCTACGCCAGTAAGGGAGATAATTGTGAGGCGAGTAACCCTACGCCAGTAAGGGAGATAATAGTGAGGCGAGTAACCCTAGGCCAGTAAGGGAGATAATTGTGAGGCGAGTAACCCTAGGCCAGCAGGGAGATAATAGTGAGGCGAGTAACCCTAGACCAGTAAGGGAGATAATTGCGAGGCGAGTAACCCTACGCCAGTAAGGGAGATAATAGTGAGGCGAGTAACCCTAGTCCAGTAAGGGAGATCATTCTGAGGAGAGTAACCCTATCATTGTGAGTCGAGTAACCCCAGGCTAGTAAGGGAGATAATTGTGAGGCGAGTAACCCTAGGACAGTAAGAGAGATCATTCTGAGGCGAGTAACCCTATCATTGTGAGGCGAGTACCTCTAGGCCAGTAAGGGAGATAATTGTGAGGCGAGGAATCCCAGGCTAGTAAGGGAGATAATTGTGAGGCGAGTAATCCTAGGCCAGTAAGAATGAACAACGTGTTTACACGAAAACGTTTGGGAATTTTATCTGATAAATCTATAACACTACAGATGTTGGATATGATGTGTAAACTGACGGAGGCGTTGGATACGGGTATATCAATAGACTGCATTGAAATACATTCCGCACAAAAGGCTGCTAATTAAGCTGAAGGCAAACAGATTCTCGAACCAGATGTTACACCGCATTGAGAGTAGCCAATCCGCGTATGGCACATCTTTGTATCAATCTTTTGAAAAACTCTGTTATGTTTTTGTAATGAAAAGTCGGTCCCTTAAGGTAATTCAGTTCGTTCAACCCTTTGCTTAGGTCGGACAAGTTAGTACTTTTATATCTTTATACAAATTTATTTTAAGGGTTGAGACTTGAATTACCCTGCACAACCAAAACTTAAATTGGTTGCTATTTCTCTGATCAACGTATCTATTTGCAGGTTTCTGACAGGTTAAGCAATCAAATACACAATCTACGGTAGTCTTTTGATAAAATCAATTTGACTGCCACACTGCGAACATTTGCCACGTGTCACCCGATTCTTGTTTGAAACCGCAAGTCCTTCAAATATTTGTTTTTAAAATCAACTAAAATTACGGTACATGTATCAGTTTTCTTAGATCTTTCTTCGATTTACTCCATCGGATGTGATTTCGATACAGCAATGTTTACAATGAAACTAATTTAACCTGTAGGAAATTAGATGTATACATTAGTAAAATGTATAAAGATCGTCCGAAAATGAGCGTTATGTAGAAATCATAAAAGCACATACTCTTTTATACTATGGAAAAAAACAAGTTGAATAACGATCATCATCTCGTAAAAAATAAAGAGTCACGAACATACAGTAAAAGAAGTGAAATAAAAGCAAAATACACTAACAAAGTATATAATACCGAATCGCGAAAATATAAAAATAAATGTCATATACATTTTTGAACGGGTTGGTGAATGATTAAAAATGACGTGACAATCTAATTTGCTCTATTATATGTTCTACTCAAGTTGCAAACACTAAAAAACCCCACTCCGTTTAACAAAGTTTCAATTCCATCAAATTAGAGTCTGTTTATCGAAGTTTTAATTCCGTGAAATAGACTCCATTCAACACAGTTTTGATATGGTCAAATTAGTCTTCGTTTAGTACAGTTTTAGAACGTATTCGGGGACATTTTTTTTGCAAAAATATCAGTCGAAGTTGAACCTTAATGGCACAGTTAAAACACGTCATCAAGCTGATGACGTACATGTACTCTGAACTTAGTCGTAAGATTAACAACGTCGATTAAAACACGATATCAGCTTGAGAACGCACTTTTTGGTAGATCATTTTTAACACATGATGTCGATAAAAATATGTCATCAGCTGATAGTTTATTTTTCGGTAAAACATAAGGTTAATTACTTCGTAAAATATGCCGTCAGCTTGATAATGTATTCTAAGGTGAGCGGTAAGGCGGGAAACTTGAACGGGTTGACCGAATAAAAAATGACAGCGAATTCCATTTAGTATAATTATTGAATCGAGAAGGCAAGCTGAGCTACGACAATGGAAGCTTGAGGATCGTGATAACAAGCAGAATTTCGACAATGAAACAGAATAATTTTCCTGACTGTTAAGTATTCGCTGCGTTTTTATATTTGGTGAATCTGTACATATGTGAAGACGGTAAAACATTTACATAAAGCTCAAGTTACAGTTAAAGACCAACGTCTGTAAAGAACGAGCCCCCAAATCTAATCAGTGTGTCACGACAACCTACGAATGGCGAATGAAACAACAACAACAAAACACTTATTTAGTTTTCTTTTTTTTAGTTCGTTTTCTTTGTACAACAAATATCAGCGCGCTTCATGTTGAATTTGCAATTGTCCAGTTCGTATCACTTTCCATTTAGCACAATCAACATTTCTATCATTATACAAATCACTTGTCAGACCTCATATTGAGTACTGCTCCAAAACATACAATCACTGGAAAACACACAACGACGCTCATTAAAAAGTTTTAAAATTACATTGCAAGACTTACCTTACCCAGACCGACTAAAACGACTAGGATTGCCCACACTTGAATAATGAATACTACGAGCTGATATGATTCAAGTGTACACAATTATGGATGGTGTGGACGATGCAGACAAGTCCAAATTATTTACTGAATCCACCTATCCGGCAACTAGTGGTTACCAGAGAAAGCTTTTTGAGAAACAATGCCGCTTAAACACCACCAAGAACACTTTCAGCAATCGTGTAGTTACCAACTCGAACAATTTGTCAGCTGAAGTGGTTAACGCCGAAAGTTTGAATAGTTTTAAGAATAGGTTAAACGTACACTGGAAAGATCATGCACACAAGTTAAATGTCTTATGTGTATATACTAATGTGACTGTTAGACTTCACTAGTCGAGACGTCCTGATATAACTTAATGTCATTTGTCACTCTCTGTGCACTGCAGATAAATAACATCGTTACAAGCCACAGGCTTTCCATTGATGTCTTACCTATGAGAATGGATAACACAGCTATCTGTCTAGGGCGGGTTAGTCAGTGGTATCCAAAATCACCATTGTGACGTCAACAATGGGTCGTGGCATTCATAACTGATATGAATGTGGTAGGGTTATTTACTGGTAATGCCAGACGATGGTTAATATCGTCATATGGAATAAACTATCAAAGAACGTATAACATCGACAAGAATAGACTGGATACTCAATGAGCTTCAGAGGATTTTTTATAAAATAATCTAAAAATATATTTATATACCAATGTATCAATAATCGTTTTTTTTTGTTTTTTGTTTAACATAGCTAGCCCGCTGTTTTTGTTTTATTTTTTTTCCAGTCCGAATTGAAAGTTGATATATATATGAATATGAAAGTTTTATTTAAATTCGGTATAGTTACAAACTACAAAACATAAGCTCTAATGAGCTTTTAACCGAATACATACAAGCATAATTATACGACAACATAAAATCAAAATCATGCAAGCAAACTAAAGATAGAGAAACCACACAAAAAATGTAAACAAGCACTAAAAAATGGCAGAGCAATTTATATGCAAGCATATGCAAAAAATGGACGATAATAACACAAAGGCACATTGAAATTAACTGAAAGCTTATCTACATGCCGAACAGCGGCATTCTGAACCATTCCAGGACTGTATAAGACTCTTGAAATGAGAATACTGTTTTCGGTCCTGAAATGGTCCGGAAGACTGTTCCACAATGAAGCAGCAGCAAATTTAAAACTTTTTTTTACCATAGGTTGTAGTTCTTATATTTGGAATGTCCAATATATTATTATATATGAACAAATATTTAGATTGTTTTACCTTTTATAAATCTTGTAAACATACAGGTGATAGCTTATTTACAATTCTAAAAGTTTCAATTGCCATTGTTCTCATTCTTCTGACTTCACCAATCAATAGAAGCCTGCCTGAAAAAAAATGTATTAGGTTTTTCGTTTTATGTTAAGGTTTTTCCTGCTTTAAATTCGCAATGTTGCTATAATAAGTAGACCAAAGGGGGACAACTCAATAATATTATGTTAAAAAATTAACAAGTTATTGATTGGTAACATTTTAGCGCAATTAATCATATATTGGAAAAAACCCGTATATTTTGTGATATTCCTTAAGTCTAAAAGGTTTATCCACATTTATATATATTTCTTCCTTTGTTTATTTTTCATGTTATAAACTACTGTTTCAGGTGGGTCATAAGCGGCAACAACAGCGTATCGTCTGCACCTCCTCAGTGTCAGGAAACGCCATGGACATGATAGCTTCGTTAGTGAATGGAGGCTGGGATTTTTCGTTAGAATCCTGGATAAACAATGGTTACAATGTTTGCTTTTTAAAGATAGTAATAACAATAGATATGCATGTTTTTTCCCCAAGCTAAAACTAAGGGAAAAGTTCTAACAGCGGGATATTCAATTCTTGATAAATTTTAATTTTGCTCAAAACCATGTCGGCATGTGTCAGAGTCCGACCCTTTTGATTTGCCAGACACTAAATGTGTTGGATCTTCTGTTTCGTTAATTGTTTTCTTGGGCTTAACATGACAAACCGGTTTTTTCTGTGTGAATAGGCCAAGACTTGCAACTCGATTTCAGGAAAATGGGAGTCGCAGAGCTACTGTGTAAAGGATTCATTTTATTATGGTCGATCAAAAACATGGCAACACCCACATTCTATTGATGGCAACAGTTACACCATGGAAATGTGTGGAGTTTTTCTTAGGAGTGAGTCGCTAAATTCAGATTGTGGGGTGGGGCTTGTGTTGCAAATGAAGTTGTGAAATCTGGCACCTCTTTCAGAAATCTCTGACCAATCACTGAATCTGTCAAAACCTTACTAGATCAGGGATTAGGGAAATTAGTTCCAACTATCAAAATCAACTAATCAAACATTTTTTTGCATTTCAGAAACTAGCAATTGGATATATTCGCAGCTGCCAAATCCGTACCCTAATCTGCGGAATGAGACTTGGATTGAAACTGATCTACTGTGGAGCCTTTGCTGCAAACAATCCTGGCAAATCCAACTATGTGTCCCTTTGATCATTATTATTATTCTCATAATATTTATACATCTGAGATATTCAAGAAAAGGTAAATTTTGCATTAAAAAAAAGAAGGTTTTTAGAAAAGTCCTTGCTGGTTAAGGAATATTTAAGAACTCACAGGAACACCAGTCAGCCAATTATCATAATTTAGCAACAACTGAAGTATTTATGAGGCACCAGTAGGAATATAACTTTGACAATAATATCACCGGGTACTGGAAGACCAGCTGGTACTGCTGTGACTGCTGTGATAAATGTCTTATTTGTAAAAAACAGAGATTTTAGAGATGATCTGAAATGTAATTTGTTTTAGCAAAATAAANTAAATTTTCACCATAATCAGTGACAGTGCACTAAAATACTAAAATACATAAATACATTTTTTATTAACCCCACATCACAAAAGAAATTGGTGTACTGTTCTGTGGGCATATATTGTTGTTGAGTATGGTGTTTATGATGTAAATACTTAAGTCATGAAAAAAGTGTTTTTCTAAAGAAAATATTTAGAGTGATGTCTATGAGTTGTGCAGATTTAAAAAAACCACCACTAAAATGTCATTAAGAAAATATAAAAGTTTCCATTTTAAACATGATGTAATAAGGATATTTATACTTGGATTGTTAACTTTCATCCCATGAATTACGTAGCAACAATGCTTGTATGTTCTTTAAGGGGAAAGCTCCAGAACTTCTGCAGCAACCAATATTCCAGATGTCTCCAATTGGAGCGTTTTTGATCTAGCCAAGGTAAGTTCTCATTAGTTTAACAGACGTAGTTCATGAAGTTATTTATATTACATATGTTTTGGTTACAATAACTATGATGTAATATGACAATGTTCTGTGGGTCCCAAGTAAAATGCCATTATTACCCCCCGCAATGAAGTTAGGGGGGTATACTGGAATCACCCTGTCTATCTGTCTGTCTGATGTCTGTCTTCTGCAGTAACTTGTCCGGGAAACTCCATCTTAACTGAAAGGCAGCTTTTATTGAAACTTCACTTGAATGATCAGTATATTATTCAGTTGTGCACTGACATTGTATTTTCAGATTTCAAAACTTTTTAAAGGCAGCTACGGCCCTTTAGCGAAATATTTTCTAGAAAACTCTGTCTTAACTAACAGGCAGATTTTGTTGAAACTTTGCTTAAAGGATAAGTGTTTTATGCAGTTGTGCACCAGAATTTTAATTTTTGATTTCAACACTTTATTATATAGTTATGCCCTTTTGTGCTAAAATCTTGTCCGCACAACTCCTCCTAAATCCGGTGGATTTTATTGAAAGTTTGCACTGATGTACTTGGACACTGGCATTATGATTTCAGACAGTTTTTAAGGGAGTAACGGCCTTTTGTGAGTTATGCCCCTTTATGCTAAAAACTTTGTTTAGCCCTTGCAGGGGCAACAATCAGCTGGAATGCAGGAAAGTAGTTAGCCTATTAGCGTCAGTTCTAGTTTAACTTGCCAAAATGGGACTGTACCATTTGGACACTTCATTTTTTGAGATTTCAGTGAGTCGACAGCAAATAAATTATGTGGTTTTATTTTTCTTTGTCACATAACTTTAAATAACGGTTCCTTTACAACTCGGCTGATTGTAAAAGCTCCAAGGCCTCTTGTCTATTTTTGATAAGCTTTTAATTTAAGTTAAGTTTAACCAAATACTCAGGCTTCCAAACAGAGTTGGATCCAAGGGGGTGTCACCAGCGCACGTGACAATCCCTGTTGATTTAAAATATATATATACTGCTTCTATAATGTGACACCCCCAAGATCCTCACTGTAACCTTTATGTGGAAATCAGTATGTTTTGGGTTATTCTGATCATAACAAGCTTATCTGACTTTATTATTTTAATTTCTTGACCATTAATTCTAGTTGAGCATTATACTGCCCCCGCCATGCCTCCAACAAGTTTATAAACTTGGTGTTGATTAGTTTATACTTATTGATATCACAACCCAGCATCAATTAAATGGGTCAGGAAACCATGATAGAGACGTTTGTACCTGTAAGGTCAGTGGTAGTAGCCACAGGGCACATTAAGTGTTAAAGTTAAAGAAGGTTTGCCGGTTTTATGTAATATGATTGCAAGAAGGACAATAAATATCACATTTTAATGCTTTCAATAAATCAATAAACGACAGTTAACACATTAAAAAAAATGCATATAAATAATGATTTGGAGCATTAATATATAATTCATGCTACTTCATAATGTTTACGCAAATTAGTGTTATGCTTACTTACTAGAAACCAAAGTGGAATAATTTTTCCTGAGAAAATTGAAATAAATAAATACACAAAGTTAAATTAATATATTCATGATTAATTCCACTCTTGCATTTAAAAATAAATAAAACAAAAGCAAGAAAGAATTAAGGAAATGTATAGATAGAAATCCTTGGGAAAGTACCAGGTGGATGGCCAGGGCAGGTATCTAACTTAATTTTGTGCAGCATGATATGGTTCAGACCACATGCGTAGCAAAATAAACTAGAATGGTGACACTCCTCTCAAAAGTTCTAGATCTGCCCCAGCTGCCAAATGATATTTTTAACTGGCCAACATTTGTAAAATTACCCAAGAGATACATGAGGAAAAGGTGATTTGAACAGGCCAAAATGAGGTCTGAACCAGTCATTTTGGCCTGCTGCCTGTTCTTACTGAAAACCCTGAATACAATACACTGTACAAGAAAATTTTAGCTGCAGTTTAACTTTCGTCTATTTCGCTCTCCCCAATGATGGCAAATTTATCAATACAGTGATTACCATGTATTAGAACCGACACAATATATAGTAAATACTTGTGAATGGCTGAATAATTACTAGGCGAACATGGATTTTATTGGCAAATGGCAAATGTTTCAGTATGTGAAAACTTTTTTGGACTACGGATAGATAGGATAAACATAATTGATTTGGTTTTATCATATTCAATATAATGTGATATTTTAAGTAAAAAATCAAATTTCATCACAACATGTTCTATAGTGATAAAATTTTGTTTATGTCACTTTTATGATGTATTGTAAAAGAGATGAATGTATTATAAAACCTACTTCAGACTGCCTACCAGCCTGGCCACACTGAAGCCATTATGATGTTGGTGGATCAGTTTGGATACGATGTGAACTACGTCATCCCTTCTACAGGGCTCTCCCTGTTCTTGGTAGGTAGCATGAAAACACCCATCGACCCAGTATATGCAGAAATTTAATAAAACCTGCCAAACTACTTCAGAAAATAGTCTCAACTAGATTTAATTGTGTTATGGGACCTTTACCATAATGGTAGACTGATTTGCAGGAATAACCCTGGAGGGGGCCATCATGCCATATTCCAATTTTCTTCTAATTTTACACAATGGCACCTCCTAATTTTCCTATTGACTAAAAAATTGCTGAAAATGGCCCACTGCTTTCAAATTCCAGGATTTACCCTGGATTTATCTTTAATGCAATAATTTCAGGGGTAAATCCTGTATGACTTGCAGGCCTTGAATGTCTTTGTCAAATTACATATAAAGTACTGAGGTGAAGCTTGCTAGAAAACAACATCAAACAACAAGATCCACCATAAGAGAACAATCAGTAAAACCATTTTGAACATAAAATTGAATGTTATTTGTTTTAGGCAATAGTACATTTGCAACTGAAAAACAGTGAAAGAGAAACAAGTTCAGTTCAAGTTATCAACTGTAAATGATGTTAATTTAGTCACAAAGTATAGAGTACCATAAAGTTAGAATGTAATATTGCCATTGTCAGAAATGGAATATTTGTTTTAGTCAAATCTGTATACCCCTTTCTTCATATGTACACTTTTTTGTGCTAGTATTTAAGGTATGTACATGTAAATCACATCTTGTGATGCATCTTACAGAATTTGAGTAAGTTGTTGGAATTTGAGTTAAATAATTTGAAACAAAATTTATATAAAACATGTACATGTATATATATAACTATATAAAACTACATGGAACATCTTGAATCATATATTCATTGCCAATCCTACACTTTACCGATGTTTACATCTTACAGAATTTGAGTCAGTTGTTAGAATTTGAGTTAAATTATTTGAAACAAAATATATATAAAACATGTACATGTATATATATAACTATATAAAACTACATGGAACGTCTTGAATCATATATTCATTGCCAATCCTACACTTTACCCATGTTGCTATCCAGGTAATATAATCCCAAGCATCAAAATGAGAAATGAATCCTTTGACAAGGTTCTAAGGGTTCTAAGTGACAAGGTTCTAAGTGATAAGGTTCTAAGGGTTCTAAGTGACAAGGTTCTAAGGGTTCTAAGTGACTAGGTGACAAGGTTCTAAGGGTTCTAACTGACAATGTTCTAAGTGACTAAGTGACAAGGTTCTAAGGGTTCTTAGTGACAAGGTTCTAAGGGTTCTTAGTGACAAGGTTCTAAAGGTTCTAAGTGACAAGGTTCTAAGTGACTAAGTGACAAGGTTCCAAGGGTTCTTAGTGACAAGGTTCTAAGGGTTCTAGGTGACAAGGTTCTTAGCCAGAAAAATACTTTCTTGTTGCTTCATTGTCTATATATACAAGCAATAATACTCCAAGTTTAAAAGTTTCCTCTGAAAAAGAACTCTTTTTCGCATTTGAAATAGTTCAGTGCTATCCTTTACGTTAAAGTTATGAAAGAGGTTTGCACTATAAAGTTGATTGCCTTCTAAACAGTGTACCTGCCTCAGTGGAGAGAGAGCTGCCATTCAATACATGTTAAAGAAAGGTAAGTTGAACTGCAGACTTTAAAATACCATAAACTCTGAAAAGATAAAGTGTTCCACAATTCAAACAAGAGGCACAAGAGGGCCTGTATCGCTCACCTGAATATTTAAGCAGTCATAGCAAAATGTTCTTATTAAATATTATATTGCACTAAAAATATTTCCCTCGCAAACTTTGTTGGCTCCATCTGTTGAAACTACCAGCAAAATATTATTNACATTCCTTTAACACATAAAAGAACTTGCCAATAAATGCTAAAATTTGCTGTGAATATATATCCTGTAATATTTTTGTCATATATTTATAGCATTACCTGTGTGATATGCCCAAACACATTTTGTGTATGGTACTAATGTATCGGATCAATCTTAATAAGGAATGATGTCACAGACTTAATAAAGATAGTTAGAGCTATATTATAGTGATCTAAATGAAACTCCAAAATCATCAATTGGCATGAAAACAAACCAGTACTAGAATTTGTTTCAGTGTCATAATATGAACTACAGGAACTTTCAATGTTTATTTAATGTCATCATCAATGCTTATTACTGAAAATGACTGAACCTGTTAACAAATCTCGTAAGAAATGAAAACTCCCTGAAATTTAATTGTAGTCTTACTCTTAGCTTCAAATAGCTTCATTAATGAGCAAAACCTGCATAAAACTAAAATGTTATGTCTTTCAGTAGGATTAAGAGGGTACAGCCTTAAACTTGAATTCTTTTTGCCATATGCTTGACTTCTCCAATTTTGATCCATAAGGAGCAGATGTCGGGTCCACCAGTCAGGATGGTGACACTCCTCTGTATCTGGCTACGTTTGGAATCCTCAACTCGGCCATGCCTGATGTAGCAGTCATCATGGATCTTATAGAAGCAGGTGCATTTGTTAGTTATGTGCTCAAGGTTTTTAATAGTACTGATATTTTGTTCGAAAATAATTCACAAATGTACGATAAGTGCTATTTGTATTGTCAATATCCTTGACTTTAAATTGCAGGTTTTTGCTTAAAATTCACTGTACTGTCAAACCCGATAGGAAAAAAGCACAAATAACTCATTGTATAATAATTATGTACTTGTGTTCTTGTGGACTTTTCAAGGTGTCTTCAATCTGTAGAGAATATGTCCCACTAGGACTGACCTATTGGTTTGCTTCACCAGTCATTATGTCTCAACCGTTTTAAAGAATATTTTACAAAATATCCAGATAGGTGTAGGTCATCTGGATCTCTTTTTGATTTATCAGATGATAACTTTAAATTTGAATTTATGAATGTCTACAGGTTGTGATGTCAACAAAGCAAATTCCCGTGGCTACACACCATTACACAGAGCTGCCAGTAAAGGAAGTGTCCCAGTTATAAAATGTCTTCTCCTTTATGGTACGATTCAGCAGCAGTCTGGACAACTTTTTCAGCATAACCTATCTAAGCTACCAAGCATAATATTAACCCTTACTCAGTAGGGCCCATTGCTTTATATCCAAGACAAATGTAGTAAAAAAAAGTTTCTTTAGAGAAAGAAAATATTGGTCCTTGTTAATTCTTAACAGTTTCACTTATATTGCCTTAATTAAGTCAGATATCATGATATAAAAATTCCTTTTCTGCCCGACATTTCAAGTAGTTAGGCCTGGAGCACGACACCCACTGGTACTTGAACTAAACTTACCATATACTTTAATATATTTTCTCCAGGTCCAAGTCTTGCATTTTATATTACCGGGTACAAAAGTGTCAATTCAGGGAAATATTATGGTTAACATATGTCAACGACCTTTATATTTAGATTATTTGTATATATATAAAAAATGGGGGATTTTCTTTTTTAACAACATATTGTTTTCCCTGTGGTTTTCTATAATGTTTCAAACAAGCTTTTAGATACCAACTGTTTGTCAAACAGAACAGGAGATTTGGATAGTTAATTTTGAATAAATCAATCTGGCGTTGAGTCATTGAAAAAGATATGTTTCAGGTGCTGATCCCTACCAGGCAAGCCAGGCTGGGGTTCTCCCTATTGGAAATGCCATCAATGCTGGTATGTTTATATACCTGTACAAAGACATCCGCAAAACTGACGGGTGTAATGATGTTCATGCATACATAAGGATATCTTTTGGACATCTTTGGGAATATGTATCACTATTGTATTTCCCTAGAAAGGAAAACATTCTATGGGCAGAAATTTGTGAGTGAGGGATATTTTAATTACCTGGTACTATTAAATTCTTAAAATTAAAATGTATTTTGCTTGCAGATATCAATTAGTTTTCAACCTTGGCGGGCAATGTAGGCCTTCAGCGCCTTGCACTTAATCAGTAAGTGCTGACCGGGAACCTCCTTAAAAATTCTGAGCTTTGTTATGAAAACCCAAAATATCCTGACAATTAACTTCGTCAGTATTTATTTGTTTGATGCTAGATTAAGTCAACCAAATTATTGTTTGTCTTTGATTACTTTTTCAGGGAACTTGCAGGCTGCAGAATTCCTGAAAATCCACATTGATAACCCCCATGTATGGGAGGTGGTGGATCCCCATACACCCCCCAGAATACAGCTAGGTCTTCAGAGCCCACAACGTAAACACCTGGTGGAGTCCTCTAGGCCCAACAAAACTTTCTCTATTCTTACTTGACACATCTCCACATGGGAGGTTCGTCTGCCATAAATAATTAAAGCCGAACGTGTAATCTCTACTCCAAGACTATGCTTCTTGGTATTACAGTTTATACTTGCTATAGTGCATTACATATGATTTTTACTACATGTTCTTAAAATCAGGGTTAAGTTATATCAAGCTTCATTATGTAATTTGCTGGTACTTCCGTAATTATTGAAAATACAACCTATTCATACATGTAGGATTCAAAGAAGAACAAGCATACCCAATATATCACTGTCCAATGCCAAAATAATGTAAACTTTAATCCTTCTAATGCATTCCTGGGATGTAGTTGAAGGAGAAAAATTGTACATACTCTGTAATAACATAACTGTGCATCAATAACTGGTTTCAATATCAAACCTGTAACTTTTAAAGAGGAGCAAGTGCTATATAGTAAAATTAACTAAATAAAGCTACAGGCTAAAAATCTTCTATGGCTGTTACAGATTTAAACATATTTGACCGCTGTGTATGGGTAAAGGTAATTTATTTGAATAAACTTGGTTGCCCTTTATCCCAGCATGCTACCGGACACATACCACTCCAGTCTCTAAGACTCTTGGTTATTCAGAAGAATTATTTAAAGAAAAAAAATGATGCCAGCTGGCTGGACGCTTCCCTAATCTCACTTTAGCCCATTTGGCCAGTTGAGCTAAAATGTTGAACAAACATTGTGCTCCTTTGCCCATTAGTACATCCATAAGGAAGAGATGGGTATTGCCTCCATTTGCCCAAAATCGATACCCATTAAAACCAAAGATATATTGTGCCCAGATTTTGCTAAACTTTAAACTTCTCCTTTCTATGAAACAATTACGCTTTTAATGACTAATTTTATCAGAATCTGATCATATTTGATAAACATTCAACCAACAAGAGCCCAGTATGTTCATTAGTTGTGTAGTTTTTGCTCAACCTAAAACTTTACCTAAATCACTGTATATTGCACATGATTTCATCAAGTTCCAAAAAAATTGTATAATATTTAATCTTGTGGAGTGTGGATGGATGGACAAAACACCTGATACATGTCATATTTTATAATTTAAGTTACAGATAAAGTTGGGGAAGCCTTAATACAGTACCTGTATTGTTATATTACCACTATCCATAATTACCATTTTGTGTATTATCTTCCTTCAAAATGTGTACTATAAACTAAAATATCTATACCCCAACTGCACAATTGTTCTGGAGAAATGTTGTTCTGGAGATTTAACATTTTTTATTTATTGTGTAATCTTGACCCGCAGTACACAACATGTTGAGGGATTCAAATGTATGGGTCAAAACAAGCCTGACTTTTATTTAACCATTGATGACAGTTCAGAGCAAGTGATTTAACCTTTTACCAATTATTGTAGTACATTTATCAATTTGATTCGACATTTAACTGATTTACTTTACATATACAATCTTTGTCTTAATCCTCAAATCTACTAAATTTATCACATGTTCAGTGTTTTGTAGTTATGGTCTTGGCCAGCATTGCAGATGGGGACCTGTTTATGGGGCACACACCTCTGGCAGAGTGCCCGGTTTTTAAGATGTAATGGTCTAGACCAGAATTACAGTGATGACCTTCGACCTCTTGCTATGATGTCGGCATTGAAGACAGAAAACTGTGAACATGATGTCTCGTTATAGTATTTTCAGCAGACCTTGCTACAGTTATTTCGGAACTATCTTAGAAAGAATTTAAGTAGCATATATCCTTAATGAAGCTTGATATGAGTGAACAAGTGACTGGACAGAAGGTTGAGTTAGTAAAATGAGACTGAACACAAATCAGCTGTTTTTACAGGGATATTTTTATTGTAATGTACAATGGAACAAGCTTATCATTAGGGCATGGTATCAACATCTCTGTAACCCAACATCAATACAAAACAACTTATAATAATTTGCAGCGGGTTTTTATTTCAATGCCATTCCAAATTGAAAGTGACATACAGTGGTAATTTATTTGTTTATTGGGCTTTCCCAAATTATTCCTTTTATTTATATCTCAAGCTTTTGCACAAACCCCATATACATTGTCTTATCACACAAGTATTTATTTAATGTCAATCTTTTTAGTCAGCAACAACTTTAAATTTGAACTTGTTTCATTGTTCATTTATAGGTAGGGACATCTTTTTAAATATCTGTATTGAAAAATAATAGACATGGAAGTTATCTACATCAATAACACACATTATGCACACATAGCCAAACTAATTCATGCAATAAATGTTTTGAAAATTCTCGGGAAAATTAGTGGAAATCAGTTATGTAAAAAGATCCTGATTTGATGTTTGTACTCTTTTTTCTTTCATGCTCTTTTCATACAAAGTTCTCTCTCGAAACGCTTACAATTAATGCATTTAAATTCAAGAATAAAATAAACAAAATAATGGAAACTTTTAACCTGAAAATACATATTCAAAGAAAGCAATTCTGTATTATTTGGTGTCGGAGGAACATACTGCAAGTACAAGTAAAACAAGCAAAACAGCTCTAAGTTGGTTTGTAAATCCTAGGTAGCAACATTTCCTTACATGTTATATTGTCTAGATTTCCCCAAAAAGCTTTGGTAAACATATGTTCTTATGCATTAGATGTTATTTGTAGGTCTGTATACTAGAACTGATCTGTGACAAGCCCTTATGTCTTGTTTCTATCATAACAAATCTTTGTATTTAAATAGTATAAATGTACTTCACTTATTTTTGGCATTTCATTTTTCATTGAATTTAATGTTTTTTCTTCAGAACAATTTATGTACTTTAATATGATATTTGACCACTAAGGAGAAAGTCTAACATCTTGCCCAAAATAAAGATAACTAAGAGTACAAAATGTGTCAACAAGGGATGTGGATTCAGACTTATCACAGGCAAAATACAGTTCTATATATATGACATGATGTGGGATACTGTTGTTTCTGAAAGTGTGTGCTAGTGTTCACTTTTCAGATTGTACAATATATAATAGTGTACATGTACCATTTCAATAAATTGTGATGTAACGATCTTAATATATTTTTTCGTGTTCTTTTAAAAATTATTCATGTTTGAACTAAACTGTAAACAAAATTTTGTTATAGAGGAACACATTTTAATCACGACACTTTGGTTTCATAAAAACATAAAAATAGCTGAAAAGCTCACATAGATGTGACAAGGGAATAGTATCTCCTACATTGTTGTTAATTTAACCTGTACTGTGTACTATTAATCAATACATGTACAAATAGGACTGCTGTAATCAATATCCTGAGCCCCCTCCCACATTTAAGGAAGTCAACATTAAAGACAACTGTATATCATATACATTTCTCTATTATTATTGACTTAGAAATTGTTTTTTTCTCACTTATACTGTAAAAGATGTGGAATAATTAGATTGCGTTACAAGTGTCAGCTGTAGGGAATTTCCCTTTAGCTCAGCGACAGAGCATCGGGCTGGAGAGCCAATGGTCGCGGGTTCCAGGCCCAGCGACGCCACTATCTTTAACACTATTCCTCGTCCTACTACAATACAGCACCTTTGATCTGAAGATTGATTCAAGACATAATCTCAATATGTTAAAAAAGTGGATGAGTGTTTTCATTCCATTAGCACACCAACAGAATGTCTACAGCTACATCACCCGGAAACATTTTGCGAACCAAAACACATTATTTACAACTAGTAACAAAACAAAATTACAGCAACAAGAAATCAATTTAACAACTTTTAAGGTACATGTACCAGGCCACATTTCATTCCATTGTAAATGTACCTACACTAGCACACTCATGTTTTAGTGCACAAGGAAACATGTTGGCACTTTCATCGGGCAAATTTACTGGGAATATTAATTTTTAGCTTTAGCTGTACATGTACATAACCTAGTAGTGCGTCAAGATGAGCATTAAATAATGTAGCTATATCTCTTTGAAACAAGGAACATTTCGGGCTGTATTGAATTGTACAAAGTGTTGTAGACTTTGTACAATGCCGTTGTCTTATTTTAAATAATCGCTTTGTAATTAACAGTCTGCTTTATTACTGTTCTGGACATATTCAAACTGATTTTGAAATATGGGAGAATTAGAAAGTCTCCAGGTGATATGGCACACATTTTGATCCACTGATCACACAAATCCCACATATTCCCATTTTCTTTTTCGTTTAATTTGTAGATGCAGTATCTGCATTTTAAGTACGCAAGTCAGAAATTCTACTATCAATAGAACTTTTTCATGTGAGAATCAATGGAAAAGTCAGTTGTCAGAAAAATATCTCGAGAATGATCATCTGATTTAGTTAGATTGAAAATATTTTGAGCTATTAATTATTATTTCTAGATTAGAACACTAACAATGTTTTGCAGTATTTACGTGTATGTATTGTGTTTGTTCTGTATACCTATGCGACACACATCACTAGCTACGAGTTGTTGTTTACATATGAAAAACACAAACACAGAAATGGAAGTACCTCTAAAAGCAGATGGGGAAAGATTTCAGGTGTTATAACGTCTACAAAAGTATATTGCACCAGTACCTTTATAACACATGTGGAGCTTTCCATCCAATAATTCTGTTTCAAAAACTAATGAATTATCTGAAAGAAAATAAGGTCTACAAATGGACTCGTTTGCCATTTTCTGACTGAATGAAATTGAAGTTAATAGGTATTCAAGCAGGTGAAATATTTTACAATCTTTATAAAAGAATTTTATAATAACATAGAAATAATTCTACTAAAAGTCACTATATTGCATATTTAACTCTTACTTTTGTATTGCTTATGATGTACTGCTGGATACAAATAATTTAATACTACACCAAAATTAGTTTGAAATATATATAAAAAAAATAGCAACTTTTTTTTCTAGTCTGACAGTTGGTTTATGGCAAACATTCAATAATTTGATAAAAAGTTCTAATGACCCGAATCAGAAATCAATCCTGTGCACACTGGGGAGTGAGTGAACTGCTACTTAGACTGTATTAGTTTAATATTAACCATAATAGCAATGACTTGAAAGGATGGAAAACTCCTAAACAATAATTCTTATACAAAATGTATAATGATGATTAGTGCAAATTCACACTGTATCAGAAATTTTTGTGAGTTGAGAATTCAAAATAATTATTTGGAAAAAAAATATAACAATATTAAAATCTGTGCTAAATAAAAGGGATTTCATTTCTTGGATGCTTTACAAAGTGACATTCCTCACAAAAATTTCTGATGTTGGCATAAACTCTATAAGTTACTGGCTATAATTCCAACCCCTACACGCACAAACACTAAAGAAACTGTTACCTTATCCCATGATTGAATATTAAGTTTGTGAGCATGGAAAACATATAAACATGACTTCATAAATATGTGCATATGCTAAGTGATCTATTTTTTATTTACTATACAAATACACCAATGGACAAAGGAATGGACCTTGGTATAACGACTAGCCAGAATGACATCACCGACATCAACTCTGTCTGGAATACTACCAAACATGTTGGTAACACTCAGTTTGTATTAAGTATTGTGTAAGTTTGTGCAAAACCATAAGACTTGTCGTCACCATACAAGTCTTTTCCTTGCTCTAGTGTGGACCTCCGAGAGGTTTCAGTACTGCAAGTGTAGGTGGTTTTCATTGATACACCCAGAATCCACAGCATTCCGTCTGCTGTGATTGGTTAGGGTGAGCTCTCCATTGTGTTCCAAGGAGGAAAACATTGACACAGGTTTTGGTGATCTTAAATCAGATCACAATGAAAATTAAGTAATTAAAAATAATTATCATTTTCCCATTTACTGTAATGATGAGAAACCCAACCTTTTCCCTTGATCAATAGCCTTGATCCAGAATTAATCTTAAACTGTTAACAAGTATTCATTTCCAATGGAGAAATACTGCCAAGCATAGCCACATGCAGGTATTTGACAAAACAGGGTGGACTGTGGGGCTGAAACAAGCAGAACTGCAGAAAGCTGCCTTGATGACAATCAACTTGAGTTTACATTGCCACTTCATGTCTTTGTGTGGCTATCACTCGTCCTGATCACTAATTCAAGTGACCTACGTAACTTGACATCAGTGAAATTGTTAAATATCACAAAGTGATTTGACAAAACATGTCTTGAGATTTCTTTTATATCTCCACATTAACACTCTATGTAGTAAAGGAACGTTCCTATACACCATATGTCACATTGTTGTTGTTGCATGTAAGAGCTCTTCTTGTTGAACTTTAACAAAGGTGATCTGCATCATGTAGTGTCCGCTTTATTTGTAATCCAAGTCATGTTACACCATCAGGAATCTGCATGACTGCGACTGCGAGCAAGGATCACATGAGGGGGTGGGGTAACTAGGGGAGTGGCCAGTTGCACCCTCTGACCATCCGTGTGTCTTGTTCATAAAACCTATACAAAAATTGTCACTGTTTAATTTGCGCCGAATTGAAAGTTCTGTGGAACTGCCATATTTTGGAATACATAACCTCCTCGTTCTTCTATTTTCTTTGATTCTGAAAATAAATCAAAAGCAAGATCTTAATATCTAATTTCCATAGGTATAAACACGAAATATTAGAACATTGCACATAGTAATGAATGTTCTGCATCAGTCTTTCATTTAGTTTTCTCTCATTAATCTAGTTTTCTCTCATTAATCTATCTGACACTTGTTATCAGAAATTATATTTTGATCAATTTTTCTTATTATGTGCCTTTCAAATGAATTTGTAATAAAAGAGGAAACACTGCCATCTGTAATAGGGGATCAAAATCTGCCAGCAGCACAGACAAGAGGCCCATATGACCTGTATTGAGTCACCAGGAGAACGGCACTATTCCTGTTGTATAACAAATGATTTCTAGGGTGAAGATCTCAACCGTTTTCAAGTTTATATAACAAAAGGACCAAGTTCTCAGGGCAGGCAGAGGTCAATCTTAGTACTATTGTAGCATGCCTGAAATTTGATGGTTTTTTCCAACTATCTACCTGTGTGCCAAATATAATATGGAATTCATATGAATCCATCACTTGCAGACATTAATAAACGTTCCAACAGGACAGAGAATCCTGGGAAAGCAGACATATCGAATACTCTCCAGCACTCTACTGAAGTTGGCATGCGCATAGATAATAAATATGCATGAATTATGGAGGCTGACAAACTCAGCATTTGGCGCATGCACATCTAATTCGGAAGACACTGAACCATTTTTAGGAGAATTATCACACAGAAAGATATTAGAACTTAAAATCAACTACCATCGTGTAATAAATGTATTTTTTTCTATTTTAAACAAAATCCATTTGCAGTGCTTACCAGCCGCAGCTCGACGTTGCTCAGCGAGTTTGAAGACATCCTCCACCTCTTTACTCTGTGCCTCAGTCAGCTGTCCGGTGAGCACAATGTACCACTCTGGGTCACTTGTTTGTATAGCTACATGAAAAATAACAGTTAGAATTTAAATCCAAGTCATTAAGCACAAATGTTTGAAGTCGGTAGATGTATCACCGTGATTTCTGGGACTAGGGATTTCGAGTCCTGGACTCATGTTTGCCCTGTCAAATTCATCAACATTTTGAGGACTCGCTATGGCTCATTGGAATTTTGAAAAAAGATGTCCAGGACTTACCAGAAAAAACTACACATGTATTACATTTGATGTATTTATATAACTAGAACCAATGATGTTATAAAAGGTTTTGTATATATGTTAATTAATCTTAACAAAACATTTCAATAAACATTTTAAGATACATTTAGTATTTTGGAACCATGAAGTAAAATCATGGATTCATCGTTTGTTACATTGTATACTAGGATCAGCAGTTCTGGGCTATACAAGGAGTCTCACAGTAGTAAATATTGTTTATCCTAATGTCAGTGTATTTGATGGGAATCACTGATGTCACAGTTCTATGAATTTATACTAACCCGTTTGTAGCAGCTTAGCCAGCACTTACTTTGCAGTATATTTTGAAACACAAGATATTCATCGACAGTGGAATTTTCATCGTCCAAGGGTGTTTGATAACTCTCCAATGCTGTTTCTTCTGTACCATCGTCTGTGTACTCAGCATCACTGTCGTCATCCTTGGTAGTCTAAAAATAATCCAAATATCATCACGTGGCCTAGCTTTTGTTACTGGTGTGCTGTAATGATCACAGTAACAAGGTGAACACAACTGGTCATACTTATCTTTTACTATTTAGTAGGATTGTTTGTATTCACGTGTTTCCCCTGTGGACTTCACTAAAATGCTTCTAGTACACTACGCTGGTGTTTTTTTCTACAAGTCTTACAACTAATGTTTAAACATTAAAAGCTGTATAGAAGCTGATAAAATCATACTTACAGAAGCCTGTAGTTTTTCGATATACTGAGCACTTTCTTCATCAATCTCATCCTCATCACTGGCAAGCTCATCTGTAGAGAAAAACCAGAATTCCATGGAATTATATATCTTGTAAACAGCAATTAATACGAGAATCTGAGCAAAATACAGACACTTTCATTCATGATGAGCTAACTGACAATATCGGTATAAAAGTTACATATCTGTTGCAGGCAAAACAAAAATGTGATTCAAACTCATTCAAATTTACAAATATAAAATGAAGACTGATCATCTTAATTGTATTTTTAAAAACTGGAATTTTAAACTGAGAAACTGTTTATTTAATGGTCAAACTTTTAAATATATCAAAGTTTATATGAAACTTATGTCAGTCACAAATGACACAATTTTAAACTGAAAAGTTTCATTTTAATAAAATGAACATTTTATAATAACACAACCTTTATTTCCTAGCTACTACATCAACTGTATCTAGTTGTTATGAACTAGAATAATGCTATTAAAATTATACACAAAATTTTGCGGACACACTAGATAACAGTGATGTAGTGGTCTTTGTTGCCACGTCACAATAAACTGTGTACTTTGTCAATTCTCATTCGTACAGTTATGGAAAGTTGATTTTTGTTTTTTAAATTTACATATTTAGAAAATAATGATGCCCCTGCAGTAAAAGTGATGCCTTTGTAACGTGTCACAGGCCAGACAATTAGTTTATACAAATGTAAAAATAAATCACCTCTAAGACAATCTATATCCTCAGCCAGTATGTTTTGCTTATTAAAACCTTTTTTATTTATCGATCAGTCAGGTTTACCTTTATAAGGAAATTATGCATGTGTTCCTGATGACTAGCCCTGCCCCATCAGAATTTAAAAAGCTTAAGTTCTGTTTTCTTGGTTTCAAGGACATTTCTAAAAGGTGATTTTTCTGGTAAGTATTTTGTTGTAAGGAAAAAAGCTCACAGGTTGAAGGTTTGAACAAACATTTAACTTGTTCCTTGCAAACTACTGTATACTTGAAAATTTTCACTGCAGTTTAGCCTTCATCGCTTTCACCCTCCATAGTGAAGGCAAATCTATCCTGACTGAGCATCCATGCACAACCTACTATTATAGCCAAAACTAATGTCATCAGTGAAGAAGGAAAGCCCATTTGTCCCTGTTGTTTTCCGAATATTTTACCTGTGACATCTGCCTCCTCCTCTTCGTCCTCATCGTCATCATCAGAATCGTCGTTTTCCTCCTGAGCTTTACCTAAATAACATTCAAGGTCATAATTACAAAATCACTCCTTGCTTAAAATATTTAAATAACATCATATTGCCTGCCCCTGGGGTTTGTTATAAACATTGGTTCTGACTGTAGAATGTAGTGATAATGTCTTTAATAGGTCCTCATGGGGTTTGTTATCCATTGTTTTTCTCAATGTAGTATGTACAATGGTACCTAACATTGTGCAAAAATATTTTCCAGGTTCTTTTTCCCCATTGAATTAATAACCCAAAATTGCAAAAGGAAGACAGGACCTACTGATAGCCATGTTTATAGAAGTGGACTACATACTTGCGTAGGCACGTTTCAAGCCCTGAAACAGAACAAGAAGAGCTGGAATGATCTGGGCTCCAACCTGGCTCACATCGTTAGGGCGATTGGTCACCATGCTGACGAGTGCACACAGACCCAGAGCACTGATTTTCCGGTCATGCAGCCTGTTGCAACAAATACAACATTTTAGTATCATCAATTACCTCTGTGGTTTATATAATTATCTTCCAAGTATTTAATAAAGTGGTAATCTTACCAACAGAAGGATACATTGATTGAGGCTGCATGTGTATGAAATGGAAGGAAAAAACAAATATTGTTTGTAAACCTCAAGGGCTGCTCCAGAAGTAACTCTATGGGATGCTTCAGTAAAACAATGGGCCAGAAAAAATGTTGTTAGAAGAACCAGTACCAATACAATATCTTTCATCTGAAGGGGTGACATAATAATTTCATTGGTATTTTTATTCTCTCACAGAGACAATACATTGTGTCAGATGTCACAAAACTTTTATTTCTGAAAATCCTATTATGTTGTACTGAATTTAGCTGTGTCCCTTTCAAGAGTTTGTTAATGGAACAAATTTTCAGGGCGACTACCTTGCACAACACCTGTCCAACGATTGGTCTAAACTAACTTTCTATCAGAAGGTTAGAAAATTCACTGGTTAAATGTAATTTGATTTTTGTTTCATTTTTTAGGTTTAGAATATAGTGAGAAGAAATACTCCACAGGATTGTAGCTTTACTCGCCACTTTCAGGAAAATTTAACCCAGACGTTTTCATGAATCTTTTTTGACTTACCCCAAGAAACAGTCGACATCGTGCAGCCATTGTTTTAAGAACTGTTGCATTATAGAACCAGTGATGTTTTGTATCTGTAGTTTTCCCAATGTATCGAGTAGTAGGGGCTGGTTATAGTACATAGCTGCTATCACAACCTGTAAACACATTGTCCTTAACTCCGACGTCAACACCTCCCGTGTCAACCGCTGTAACGCTAGCTCCACAAACGAGGGTACAACCTGTAATATAGGAGGTGCAACATATCATATACCTACATCTTCTTTAAGTAGTTGCTTGGTCCAATCACAATTTTTTTGAACACTGATATTAGTCTTAGAGGTCAAAGACTGAGCAACAAGACAGAAAGTCTTGTGAAGATGTTTATTTTCAATGTTGTGAATATCAGTCATACATGTTGAAATATTGGTTTGGTTTGGTTATTACCAGGTCAACTTGTCCAGGACACTGTAGTAAAACAACCTCGAGCAGCTTGGCTGCGTGACACTCGGCATCCTCTCCAATATCAGCAGACATCACCTACATAACACAGAACAGCTAATAATAATATTTTTTTATAAAACATGTGTCTAAAATAGGTCAAAATAATAATGGGATTGTAAAGCTCAGCTGATATCCAATGCTGTTTCTTCACATCTATGACCTTCAAAGAACATTGAGGTCCCATTGTTTCAACAAACTTTACAGCAAGCATGCTAAAATAAGACTAAATGTAATTACTCTATACTTTATGTGGATATTATTTTGAAGATTTTTATGGAGACCAACTTAACTGCACTTCATACCGACGTAAGGATAGAGAACCTGATCTCTATCCTGATGTTAGAAATGCTATAAATTTGGTTTTGGGATATCTCCGAACAGGTAGACTGGCCCATTTTTTTTCTATCTGCAAGACTGTTAAATATACACAGTTCAAATTGTATACACATTATTTTGGGGCTACACAGGTATGCTTACAGCTTTGCACATGTTGTATATAATCTGTATGTTTTCTGGGTTAGACAGGAAGGCAGGGGTGTCCACAGTTATATAGTTGTGTAATGCCGGCATCATGTCTGTTGGTAAAAATTATATATCAGTATTCTTTGAACAAACAGAACTTTATAACAGTAATCACAGTTGAAGTTTTTTCTTTTAATAATACTGAAAATATTTTTTTATTTTTTATTAATTTGACTTATATGGTCTAATGAGATTCTTATTCCTTTCCTTTAAATACAAAATGTTTTCCATTTCATTCTATTTAAATGCTTACAGAAAACAGTTAACCAGACCCAAGGTAAAACTGTCAAATTAGGCCAACTTCTTTCATAGATATTCCTTAGCAATTTCTTTCCAAAAACATATTCATCATTGTTCCTAGATTACTCGTATGGAAATAAAATGATAAAGAATTGAAGATAAAACAGGCTTTTCAATTGTAAAACACTTACTTATAATATACCTTCGACACAAATTCAACATAGGAATAACCGGTTTTTTATTGACCCGATGACTCACCAGTAAAATAGTCAATGCCATCCTTCTGAAACATTTCGTACAACATTCTAAAGACCTGCCATAAGTGGTGAGACACCTGTGTACTCGTGAGACTGTATATCAATGAAAGCACCTCTTCATAAAAATCTGTAAACATAACCAAAACATTTTACAACACCTAGAAATGTATGAAAATCAAGATACCAACATTTCATGAAATAGGGTTTTCTGTCAATTCGCGGGGAATGTACTGTGGTATTACCAGTAAATAATAAGATGGGCTATAAGAATGATTAAAAATCTGCCTGTTGGTTAATGTTATAAATAGGAAATTGTACACTTTGTTACACCCATTTCTCTCTTCACCTTCGGATTTGTCAAACAACTTACCCAAAATATTTTTCTGTAAAATTACACCTATCACAGTTAAAACAATTCCTTCAAGCTGGGTCATAATCTGAAAAGACAAACAGAGCAATTTTGGATTAAATGGATTCAATTGGAAGCATCACACCGCCTTCCCATGATGTACCTATATTAAAGATTGATCCAATTTCATGAAACTGCAGCTAAGCTATGCTTTAGAAACCACAAATTTGATCAAAGCGGGGGAATAAAAATGTGTTAATTCATCTCCAACGTTTTATGCATTATGGTCATTCCAAATATACTGAGGAACAGCTAGACACAATTGGCCATGACCTCATTATATTTTCTTCAACTTTAAGTTTAGATTCAACCACCCCTGAAGTGCTACCCTCTTATAGTCATATCTGGAATAACTCTTCATTAATATCACAACATGTTTAATGGATACATTGTTTTTGTATGAAGTAAAAGTTTGATATTGAACATTTCCAAACTGATGAATCTTATTGAAGATATGGGAAGGAAATCAATTAACCTCAGAAACTGCTAAAAATAGACACTTCAACCACTGTATCTGTTAGTTGTTCAGACCTATAGACCTATCTGATCTGTTGTCCTCACACACCTCTTTTTGGTCCTCCATCACAGTGAGAATAGTCTCCATAGTGTTCAGAATACCTAGAGCAGCAATGGCCTTCTCCTCGGACCCCTCGATGTCAGCATCTATCACCTGGGCAAATGTCTGGGCCTGGGGACAAATCACATGTATTCATATAATGTACAAGTGGACAGGAGCAACGATTTAAAGGTTCTTCAGATGGGTGGTTTAGAAAAACTATTTGCCTGAAAATAAAATATACTAGCTTCAAAATCATTCTGTATAACCGAGTACTTTTAATGGACATAGTATTTATAATACTGGTATCTTTTACCAGAGTTGTTTTGTCTGTCATTTGTTTATAGTGAAACAGTAGGCCGAGGATATAGTATGTGACTTTTCTTACTCTGTACATTGAAATAAAATTTAGTCTTGAGACAAATAAGGGCTATTTTATAATTCATCATATTGGGGAGGCGAGAGCTACATGTATTAATATATTTCGAGTGGTGAGATTAAATCCAGATCTAGCCTACCATTTTTTATATTAAATCACTTTAAAGATTTTATGGGTAATAAATCTTATTTAAACCTTGATCTTTGTTAACGTTAGATAGATAATGGACAAACACATGTTCTGATACACAATTCCCACCATCAGCATGAACTTACAAGATGCGTCATCATCTCCACAGCGATGGGAATGACATCATCAGTATATGTGCACACCAATCTCTGCATCACACTTGTCAGTTCATCACTTTCTGTCTCTCTGATTAACTTAAGGAGTTCTATAGGGAAGATAATGTTAACAATAAACATACATAACTTACATACTGCATCGGAGTGAAGTAAGGTTTCATGTCATATTTTGCACTGGAAATTAATTTAATTATGTAGGCACATTATTTCACTTCAATCTATAAATTTATTGAGTAAATGTTGGATTTAGATTTGCTGAAAAGTTTGAAAATTCAGAAGAAAAGTTTGTTGTCACAACTTTGAAACCAGGAAATTAACTTTCTTCTGTATAAATGGATAGTTTTAGTATAAGTACAGGAATACACAATTTACAAAACTTACCTAATATAACTGGCTTGACATGCGGTTGTACATATTGTTTAGCTGCAAAATGATAAAAAATTAATACAATTAGAAAAGCTTATAAAACCATCGCAATCTCATTTCAATGAAAATGGGAGCTGAATGAAAAGTCTTTTAAATTCAATGAAGCAGAAAATACTGGTCAGTAATATGATATAATCAAGTTATATTCCTCAAGATGTATCCAGTTTGACGAGAGGCTTCTATTATAGGAGTCGTGGAGCTAAATGGATGTACAGGTTGCAAATACTTAATGCATCCTCCAATGTGTGGCAGGGGCATGAAAATCAACAAAGCTGAGGTATGTCAAATGGAAAAATATCTGCTTTTTATGTTTCTCACAAGAAAGAAAATTAAAAATGTGACTGGAAGCCCCACCCCTTTAAAAAAAACTTAAAGCCCGGATTATCTTTAGTGCAAGTAGGATTGATTTTGTATGTAGCTTTCTAACATTCCGTTGACTGGACACATATTGGCAGCACTGATAAAAAGGTTTCCTGATAGATAATAGTCCATCTCTATATTTATGACAACAAAAAGAGATACTTACCTGTTATATCTAGCTCAGGTGAAACTAAATTTTTGTATGTTTCCACTCGGAAAATGATCAAGTATGTGTTCATATATATTGTCAACTTGATACTTCAGGGGTTACATTCACTTTCGTTCCCCGCACCCCTGGAATATGACACCTTTGGATGAGACGTGAAGACTAGTTTGATCCTTTGATGTACATCAAAAGAATTTTTCGGTCGCGCAACTGTAAAATTGACTGGTGTTGAAGTCCGGTGTTGCTCCTCCCTAATCCTCAAAGGACAGGTATTAACCTAGCAATTGGTCAGGATTTTTTTTTTTTTTTACCCGAAATCAATCAAATAGCTAGCCACGTGCCTTTAATTTTGCTATTACATATTGCAGGGGTGCAGAGAGCGTAACCCCTGGAGTATCGAGGATGAAATGTTACATACGCTGCTGCAGGAATTAAACAGTATGACCTTAACCTACCTTTCTCTTGTTCTGTGATTAACATCTGCATGGCTATGGCTGCCTCGACACGTACTGGCAGTTCTTTGTCCGTACATAAACATTTCTGGGTCAGTTCTAGGGCTTGGAGAAGGTTGGCATCATTTCGAAATTTCAGCTCACAGAAATGTTTCAGCACCCAGCAACCCTAGAGAACAAAACAGAGTGTTACTCCAGATGTTGGAATTAACTTGTGAGGTAACAGATCATAAAAGTTATAATTAATACCATACAAATACTAAATTGCACTATATTCATTAAATCAATTAGTTTAAATCAATTTAAAGTTTTGAAGTACAAATAAAATTCAAATTGTTTTTTTCTTCACAACCTTAATACAGGGATCAATATTTTTTTGTATTGTTTCATGACCATCGACAATTTAAGTCACCATCAGGTCATGCAACTTCAATGATAGCAAACATATTTATTTATTTGTTTCATGTAAGATAAGTAGATATAACATACTCTGGCTCTCAGGAAGCCATGTTCACTGGTGAATTCTGGGAAAACATGGGTTGTGAGCATCATCTCTGCTTGGTCCTTGTATATCTTCCTCTGCAAATATAGAAAACTTTGCTTATTTGACTTTTAAAGGATATCAGATGATTACCAACATTTTAAAGCTCCTGAAAATATTTTTATACACATTCAGACCCCCTGTGCGCTAACATATGGGCCAACAAGAGTGATTAATTAATACAAGTTATATGACTTGTTTCGTAATTCTTGTTAAATGAATAAAGTTTTTATATTGATAATATTGTCAAGTTGGGGATATAACTTTCATGTAAACAATTTAGCTTTATCAGGTTTTTTAAAGAGCATTAATACCTTGAGTAGAATCTCTGCCACAGCTCCAATCATATGGAGAGCACCATCCTTCTGGCGTGGTTCTACACTGGGTTGTGTGAGCACCTGCATACAGAACCCCATGGCCTTCTGCAGGACCTCCTTCCTCTTAGACGCAGCAGAGTAAAATAAGGTCTGAGCAGCAATGACTGGTGACAGGAAGTCTTCGAAAACATCTGATGACGGAAACATTTTTATAAATCATACGGAGTCTTGTTCACATCTTTTGAGAGACAAACAAATTATTGATCAAAACAGTTTATACAGCAATATCATTCAAACAGTAAAGCTGCCATAGGCACACTATTTCATAACACAGTACCCTAAACATCTAACAAGACAGGCACGTGGTAGAATAAATAAGAGTTGATATTGTACAAATAGTTGAAGTTGCAAATGAATTGTTCCCACAGATATCGATCATACTCATACTTAACAGTTCCAACTCGTATTGTTGATTTTCCTCGAACGTCTGCTTATCAATGCTACACAGGGCTAAACAGTTTTAATCCTTTCACAATGTTAAGGTTCAGGAATCTAGGAATCTTAAATAAATTAACTCCTTTGAGTAACTCACCAGACTTCATGCATCATTTACTCCTTGGAGTGACTAACCATACTTCATGCACAATTTACTCTTAAAATTGACACACCACACTTGATGTTTCATTTACTCCTGTGAGTCAACTACCACACCTGATGTATACTGTACACCTGTGAGCCACCCACCACACCTGATGCATACTGTACACCTGTGAGCCACCCACCACACCTGATGTATCCTGTACACCTGTGAGCCACCCACTACACCTGATGTGTACTGTACACCTGTGAGCCCCCCACCACACCTGATGTGTACTGTACACCTGTGAGCCATCCACCACACCTGATGTGTCCTGTACACCTGTGAGCCACCCACCACACCTGATACCACACCTGATGTATACTGTACACCTGTGAGCCACCAACCACACCTGATGTGTACTGTACACCTGTGAGCCCCCCACCACACCTGATGTGTACTGTACACCTGTGAGCCCCCCACCACACCTGATGTGTACTGTACACCTATGAGCCATCCACTACACCTGATGTATACTGTACACCTGTGAGCCATCCCCCACACCTGATGTATACTGTACACCTGTGAGCCACACACTACACCTGATGTGTACTGTACACCTGTGAGGCACCCACCACACCTGATGTGTACTGTACACCTGTGAGCCCCCCACCACACCTGATGTGTACTGTACACCTGTGAGACACCCACTACACATGATGTATATTGTACAACTGTGAGCCACCCACCACACCTGATGTGTACTGTACTCCTGTGAGCCACCCACCACACCTGATGCATACTGTACACCTGTGAGCCACCCACCACACCTGATGTGTACTGTACACATGTGAGCCACCCACCACACCTGATGTGTACTGTACTCCTGTGAGCCACCCACCACACCTGATGCATACTGTACACCTGTGAGCCACCCACCACACCTGATGTAAACTGTACACCTGTGAGCCACCCACCACACCTGATGTGTACTGTACTCCTGTGAGCCACCCACCACACCTGATGTATACTGTACCCCTGTGAGCCCCCCACCACACCTGATGTGTACTGTACACCTGTGAGACACCCACTACACATGATGTATATTGTACAACTGTGAGCCATCCACCACACCTGATGTGTACTGTACACCTGTGAGCCCCCCACCACACCTGATGTGTACTGTACACCTATGAGCCATCCACTACACCTGATGTATACTGTACACCTGTGAGCCAACCACCACACCTGATGTATATTGTACACCTGTGAGCCATCCACCACACCTGATGTGTACTGTACACCTGTGAGTCAACCACTACACCTGATGTGTACTGTACACCTGTGAGACACCCACTACACATGATGTATATTGTACAACTGTGAGCCACCCACCACACCTGATGTGTACTGTACTCCTGTGAGCCACCCACCACACCTGATGTGTACTGTACACCTGTGAGCCACCCACTACATCTGATGTATATTGTACTCCTGTGAGCCACCAACCACACCTGATGTGTACTGTACACCTGTGAGCCACCCACTACACCTGATGTATACTGTACACCTGTAAGCCATCCACCACACCTGATGTATACTGTACACCTGTGAGCCACCCACCACACCTGATGTGTACTGTACACCTATGAGCCATCCACTACACCTGATGTATACTGTACACCTGTGAGCCACACACTACACCTGATGTGTACTGTACACCTGTGAGCCACCCACTACACATGATGTATACTATACACCTGTAAGCCATCCACCACACCTGATGTATACTGTACACCTGTGAGCCACACACTACATCTGATGTGTACTGTACACCTGTGAGCCATCCACACCTGATGTATACTGTACACCTGTGAGCCAACCACTACACCGGATGTATACTGTACTCCTGTGAGCCATCCACACCTGATGTATTCTGTACACCTGTGAGCCGTCCACCACACCTGATGTGTAATGTACACCTGTGAGCCATACACTACACCTGATGTATTCTGTACACCTGTGAGCCACCCACTGCATCTGATGTATACTGTACACGTGTGAGCCATCCACTACACCTGATGCGTACTGTACACCTGTGAGTCAACCACCACACCTGATGTGTATTGTACACCTGTAAGCCATCCACCACACCTGATGTATACTGTACACCAGTGAGCCACCCACTACATCTGATGTATATTGTACTCCTGTGAGCCATCCACCACACTTGATGTGTACTGTTCACCTGTGAGTCAACCACTACACCTGATGTTTACTGTACACCTGTGAGGCATCCACACCTGATGTATTCTGTACACCTGTGAGCCCTCCACACCTGATGTGTACTGTACCCCTGTGAGCCACACACTACATCTGATGTATACTGTACACCTGTGAGCCATCCACTACACCTGATGTGTACTGTACACCTGTGAGCCACACACAACACCTGATGTGTACTGTACACCTGTGAGCCACCCACCACACCTGATGTGTACTGTACCCCTGTGAGCCACACACAACACCTGATGTGTACTGTACATCTGTGAGCCACCCACCACACCTGATGTGTATTGTACACCTGTAAGCCACCCACTACACCTGATGTATATTGTACTCCTGTGAGCCACCCACTACACCTGATGTATATTGTACACCTGTAAGCCACCCACTACACCTGATGTATATTGTACTCCTGTGAGCCATCCACCACACTTGATGTATAATGAGGTACTCACCATATTTGATGCGTATGTACTCCTGAGGGTCGGTGTTCCACAATTCCTCATCTTCATCGCTGTGACACATCAAAGGGAAGATAACCTCCTGGATGATACTCTAAAAAACAAATGGATTATCAACATTCAAGTAAAAGTGAAAAGAACTGATTTCAGGTTTATTATAATCTCGACCCATTTATCAACCCTTTTTTAATTAACCATAAAACAAAACTACATAGAATACACTGTTGATCAATTCTATCACAAGATTTGTTCAAGGTGTGAAGCAGCTTATTTAGAAATCTATGGATAGCTGGGTAATAAAATTCAACAGATCCTTTCTTATATTTTATCCCTACAGTAGGTTTGACAGGTGATAGATTATCTAAATAATTGCATTCCCATACATTTTTGAGTTGGCACTAACCTTTTAAACAGTAAACCACAAAAACAAAATCCACATTCTCATGTTACAAATATGGTAATTGTATATTTAAGCAGAGATCAGAGCCAACATCAGATCATATGAAGTCAGTGCACCCATGTCAAAGGTCAACATGTCATTGGTCACCAATAAGAAAACCTTAAGGGTAACCTATGACCTGTGACCCACTCACGGTGCTGTGTTACATGGTTACAATGAACAACTTCAGTAAATGGATTGTGGTATTTTCATCATCTCAATGCTTTGTACATGTGGCATTAACAAATCCTGAGGAAACCCCAGTATTGGTCTCAGTTAACGTTATTATCTATATCCTTATACCAATTCCATCAATGAATGTATGGGAGGGGTGGGAGGCACATGTTTAGAGACACCACCCTCCTCCAGTACTGGTCTCAGTTATTATCTATATCCTTATACCAATTCCATCAATGAATGTATGGGAGGGGTGGGAGGCACATGTTTAGAGACACCACCCTCCTCCAGTATTGGTCTCAGTTATTATCTATATCCTTATACCAATACCATCAATGAATGTATGGGAGGGGTGGGAGGCACATGTTTAGAGACACCACCCTCCTCCAATCCAATTTCAACCAGTAACTGATAACTCTAAAGGTTACCAGGTAAATTTGAGATACCCCCACACCCCACCTTTCTACTCCTCACAGGTATTTAATCTGTAAAACCTTACCTGAAAGTGTGGTTTGATAAACTTCCAGGAAAACGCATGACTGACCCTAAAAACAAAATCAAATTTTATGTTTAAAGCAACAAAATAATTTGCAGAATACAATCAAACGTTTAACTATTCTATTTGAACGTTTTAAAACTTAATTCGCTACAAAATTACTCAGTTCCTGAACACAACAACTTTAATCAGTTCAAGATTTCAATGTAAAGTATTCCCTCTCTGTTTTGAGAGTCTACTGTTTACTAAGATAGGTTTGCTAAAATATTTGCCCTTCATTGTTAGAAATCAGTATTAGCATTTAATAGTGAATACAGTGTACAGTAATCTGTAGCCAACGTAATGCAGAGGATCAACAAGGCAAAAGTTAACTCCATGGAACACATGCTATATCATAGTAGATCTACTGTACCAATCCTGATGTCACAACAGACAATTAAATTTCATGTTCGTTTTAAGTTGCTATTCCATGGTAATTTTAACATGACATGGTGGTCAAATTTTAGATTTTTGTACATTGTTACACCACAAAAAATGCTGGTTATATTATTGTGATTTTGACCCGTGTCATTCAGAACAAAAGTGCTCATGTGTCATACCCTTGATTCAGGTAGTTGATGGTTTGCTGTAGGACCCTGGGTGCCACATACAGTTTCTGCCGATACTGATCCAGTACCTTGAGTAGAACCTGCACTATCCCTCCTATGGGCAAAATAACATTAAGTCATATTAGGGTTCTGAAATTTGGTGTATGTACAGTCCTGGAATTTGCAGACATAAACAGACCTTTGTTTTCCCCTGGAAACAAAACCACTTTTTGTATACAAGTTTAATTTCATTTTCAAATACACATGTACTACACATGCCAATCCCCTCTTTGTCAAACATCAAAGCTAACTCTGTAACTCCGTTCACCATACGTATGGTCCAAGTCAGTGTGGGGAAAAATCAGGCATAATACAAGAAACGGTCACCATTGTTTTTAAAGATTTTTTTCATGAAAGCATGAACTTTACACTCGATACATGATATGTGCTGGGAAACTGGCAATGGTATTGAGAGAAGCTAATGTCAATTAACATGATATAGACTTATTGACCGCTACATGACGTTAACCGGAATCCACTCTATTGGCATAACATAGTCGTATATTGTTGTCTTCACCTTTTTTTTGCTGGTTTTTTATCTCAATTATTTTCTCCATATTAGAAACTAGAATTATGTCAGTGTTACATTAAAGCCGCTCACCACTTGAAATTTAATTGCCTCAGTAACACGTTGAGCATCAATATCTACTAGAATACCTCAGATATGTGTTCTGTATTCTGCTAATTGAAAATCAGGTCATGTGATGATGTTGCCTTTGGAATTTCCTAAATCAATCACCTCTTAAATGATGCCTTAAAAACATTCTCCCTCTCCTCTTTTTTCACCCTCTTTAAGTGTGACGCATTGTTGTAATTTTCATTAATTAGCATCCTCCAATGATGTGACATGACCATTTACATGCAGAATGGCAATCGGTAAATGGATAATAAAGAATAGGTGCATTTTGTGCTTGTGAAATGAAGGATAATTAACAGTAGTGGGAAAATATGCATGGAGGAAAGAGAGAATGTACTATTTTTATTTATTTTTTATTCATATTGATAATAATTATTAATATATGTAGTGACTTTATTTATTATCATTGAAATACAAAATCTCACAAATGTTCTTGGAATATACTTTACCAACGTAAGAGTTATTTCCCTTACACCAGATTGGATAATATTTTGACACGGCGCGAATTCTTGTCAAACAGCAGCGGCAGTTGTGTCATGTTCTTAAATTGTTAGATTTTCATCAATAAATACACCAGAAATAGCATGCTGTGTTACAGAAATGTTTGATAAGCATACATGGTTCACATATCGTCTTGTCTCAGAGCCATTACCGTTATCAACCTAAGCAGATATGTCATATTACGTTCCCGTTTGAAACATCAAAATAAAGGTTATACTTCATCACTTATACGGTTTATAAGTAAATATATTTACTTCTTCCTTCTACAGACAGTGTCAATGCTTGACAGTCTTCACATGTGCTTTCTCGAATCATATGTGTTTCACATGCGTAACACTCCTCAGACCTCAATCCGAGTTGCTAAAACGCTCAAACATTGTGCACGAATTTCACCACCACAACACTCGTAGAATGCACCGGAGATAAACATTTTGTTTTCAGCAATTATTTAAAGTATGGATTATTATTTGGAGAAGAGTATCAGAAGACTTTATGTAACCCACAGGTGAGTGTCCGAGATTCCACTTTCTATTTACGATAATGAAATTATAAAGCGGAAGCATGCAAGACTGAATTATGCGCACGCACCCCAAACGGAAGTGGGTCCATCATTCCGTTCTCTAGACAGAATTAATAAGCTGCTCGGCTCTCACCAAGAGCGGCTTAAAAATTAATGTAAGCATCACAAAGAAAGAAAAAAATACTTTTTTCAAATGATACAAACACCCTCAATATAGTGTATACTGTCAAAATAATTAAAATTTGTGAAAAAAAATACGGAAATAACCCAAGTCACAATCTTGAATTTACAAACCTGAGAAGGCCTTGAGATACCACTCGGCAAAAGCTGAGTATTCTTTGGTTACTGTTCCTGGACTGCCGTATCTGCAAACAATCAAGAGAAATATCCCTTTTCTGTATACTCTGAATGATTCTTATTTATAACAACTAAATCGGCAACTCATGTCAATGGACAAAGACTTAGAATTTGAAAGTTACCCCTACTCATCACACCTTAACCCCTTACTCTGTTGGCGCAGTGGATAACACTCACCTTCCACCAGGGTGGCCGGGGTTTGATTTCCCGATCACATGTGAAATGGTATGTAATTGCTTGCCTGACTTTATGGTTTTTTCCCTCCGGTACTTAGTTTTCCTCCCTCCTAACATTTAGCCCCCCCAACCCAGATGCTAATGTCTGGGCCAACTAGAGTAATAAGCGTATGTTGAAATAACTTGTTTCATAATTGTTGTAAAATAAATATATTTTATATTGTATATCAAATGAAAAAGATTCCGTATTTGTGAATTACCTCTACTTGTAACACCTTAAACTTTTATTCGTGGAGAAAGTGTTTCAGAACGATTCATCTCACAACATTAAACTATTTTATACAAGAGTGGCTGGTTCATGTACCTCTCAAAGATCCTGGTGAGGATATGAACAGCCCATTTCTTGACCTTCCACCAGGCCAACTCTGCTCTCTCCTCCTCCTCTATCTGATTGGTCTGCTGTAAAACACAGTAAACAATGCACTGATTGGATGGGGTGTTTATTAGAAAAATTACAGTAGTATAATTAATGATGTCTTTCATCATACATTGTTGAGTCTGGATTCATATAAACATCACCCTTGATTAAACATCAATAGATCTAGCAGGACATCTAGTTCAGGTGTTTGAAACATTGATCCAGACAGACTGTTTGACATTATATATCATAAGGTTACTGGTTCTTTTTCACTATTATCACGACCAACAACATAACCCAAAACACATAATGTTTGTAAAGTTAATTGTTTATGGAATTTGAATTACCAATGAAGTATGATAAATGTGAATCATGCATTTTCTAGTAATACCTTGTATCTCAACTAAAGTAATTTATCTAATAGATATAAATGATATCCAATGAATTCTACTTACAGATCTAAATTTCAAACAGTAAAAGCTAATAATACGACTTTGTGTAACTATCCAAATTAATGGATCTCCCAAGATAGATAGTAATAAACTTGTCTAAAGGTGCATCAGGATTTACCTCTGGTACGGGTCGGTCGACTATCTGTCTGATCAGCTCCATCCACTGTGTGAATACGTCCTTTGAAATAACCTCTTGGGGCAGGTAATTCTACAACACATATAAATAGTAAGTACATACAGACAGCACACACAAACAAGCAAGGGCAGGTAATTCTAAAACACATATTAATAGTAAGTACATACAGACAGCACACACAAACAAGCAACTGGAACTGGTCCGACAAAATAGACACTGATTACTGATCACATACATTGTAATACACAAACAATGCTCTAAATAATCAGACATGTACTGTACTTACATCACATGTTAATATGATACACTAACATCCAAGATTTTATAATTATGTCATGTTCTGAGATTTCAAAAATGAACAAGCCATTTGGATTGATATGTCTCGCCTGTGACCAGCTTTGTCTTTCAATGCACATATCAGAGAAACTAACTTAAACTTAAGTCCAGCACCTTTACTTTCAGTGAAGCCAAGTTAAACACAAAAACCTTAGTCTTGTTTCCGCTACCAGACAAAAATTAACCATATTTAGACATTATTATTCGAAGCAACAATTGTGTCAGGAAAAAAGTTTCCATTGCTTAGACAGTTTTTGGAAGTGATAAAAGGACCAAGGAAACCTACACAATGAAATATCTTTGTCAGATATTTCTTCAGAAATAATGATAACAAATTTAACCATAAATCATGCAAAAATATGACCAAGTGGAACCTACAAGTGAAATTTGTCAAGTACTTGATATATAACAATAACAAATAGTGTTCAATGAAGGACACTTTGAACCGCCCATCATCTGCCAATTTAGGGCTTAAAACTAGATAAAGATAATCAACCACCAAAAAGTCCAAAGGTCAAGTGTGTTAGTGTATGAGAAGGAAACATGACACTTATCTTTTCATCCTTTAAAATTTAAGAAAAGCTATAAATACAAACCATTTTTGAAATACTTACATTTATTTTGTTATAGTAGAGATTACAATTATGGAACTTACAAGTGGCAGACATATTTGACATTTCTTCTTTTCAAATTTTCATAGTTATGTTTTGAAGATATTCACCTGTATGAATGCATAATAAATCTTAAGGATTTGTTTCTGCAGCAATACAGCATGCTCTGACTGGTCAGGAAGCATCTCCTGACATCGTTGGTATACCATAGGCAGCATCACCTGCATGGAGTCATGTAAAACCTTGCGTTCGTCTGGCCTCTTGTACCTGTCAATCAATTGTAGAATATTGTAAACGCCATACCTTTTAACCTCTTTATTTCAATGCTGACAATCAGCCATACACAACTTTAGACCAGGGGCCCCCAAATATGAAATGTTTAACAAATGACGATTTGGGCAGCCCACCATCATCAAATGGCAACTGATTATGGTCAAAGCTTAGCACATAAAAACTTGAACAGTAATCAGTGTTATCAATAAGGTTTGAAATAGGCAGTTTACTTGAGAGGAATAGCTGGTTGGAAAAAGAAACGTTTTGGGGAGATTTGATGAATAGCAGGCTACTTTTGTTGGCAACAGGTTTTTTTATTGAGAACATTGGTAATTACCCAGGAACAATGTAACTTACTCAAAAACTTTGACCAGTTGGTAAAGGGACATGAATGCACCCATCCAGGCACCATGGTTGTCGGCCTGCATGTACATGGCAATCTTCTCTACCAGGGTTGGCCATCGCCCAGGGTAATCATACTTAATGATGTGGCTGAGAGCGACGCACAGCTGAACACGAACAGGCTCTGGGGCTTGTATGATTGCCTCCACAACATTTTCACGGATTGTCTGGCGGTCCTGTTCATGGATGTTGAAGGGAACAGGGTCACTTGGGTTTTCCACTTCTCTGTCCTGCCAGAACTGAGTGACTGTGTTCTTCAGGTAGACAACACCTGATAAATGACATACAAATCTTAATAACATTTCATATAACAATTACAGATTGACTGCTATTACATTACAATGTATTTGTATATACCATAAATTTACGCGTATAGTGCACACTTCCTTAGGTAAATATGGTACTGTATAACCATCAAAGTCAGTCTCACAAAAACTATAGTTTTTTAGGTGATGCCTATGCAGCCTTTAATTTACATCAGCATTTTACCAGCCTTGCCATAGGTAATGACCACAATCTGGTAGTCCAAAATATATATATATAAAAAATCCTTTATTTAACCTTCAAGTCAATAAATTACAGAACTAGAAGGTTAAACAAATATGTAATCTATTGATGATGCCACATATAGATATTTAACATCAATTTTCTCTGGCATTTACCCCTCACAGCCATAGCTATCGACTCAGGAAATCTCCATTTACCCCTCACAGCCATAGCTATCGACCCAGGAAATCTCCATTTACTAATGCTTCTGGCAATATAGTCTAGGTGTCTGGATCACGTTTATGTGTCAAGTTTTCTCAGGTTTGACCCGAATGTTTCTAGGTTGATAAAATTGCCGGTTAATAGCTTCAGGATTCACTGACCTGCCTGTCTGACGGGCATGTCCAGCTGTTCGGACATGACCACTTGCAGGAGGATGGGTGTAAACCCAATAATCTTGTGGACCTGCAATCAAATTAAAAGTCAGAAAATTATACTAAATCAAATGGTGTACAGGGCTCAGGCTAACCACCCGGCCACTCGTCCTGACCGGGTGAAAATTGAAAAGGACGAGTGGAATTTACAACCACACTCGTCCCGGTGCCGAGTCAATAATACTGAAACATACACTAGATCTGTCGCCTAAATATTGTGATGAATAATCAATGGAACACTTTTTACCAAGTAACTTTCGTCACAGCATCGGAAGTAAACAACTTAAAACATGCCGTTTTCATGCTTGTCATGAAAATCACCTGAGCGCTTGAATCAAAGCATCCTGAACGATGTACTGCGGGGCCCCGACTGCAGCAATCGCAGCAGGGAACTAGACTACATAATATTCCGTAACTAATCGAAACGAAAGATGGAAGTGAAACTTCACCCCTTTTTCACAAAAGGTACAGTGTTGACACGATATATTTGATGAATGGAAATCAAACATGTTGCTAGTTATGATGTGTAGTAATTGTATTTACGAAAAAAACATTAATGGACATTGAACAACATCATCTTAACAGGTCAACAGATCAGTAAATATTTATTGAAATTTTTCATCATCTCAGGTGTACAGTAAAATTTCTGGAGTGCCGAGTGGATTTTTCATGACACTAGGCACAGTGCCTAGTGGTTTAAAAAGTTTAGCCTGAGCCCTGGTGTATTATATTACCGATACTTTACATTAAATAAGACTGTGAACATCGATCTGAAGTGTTGATTTAATAGAAAAACATTTCTCTCATTTCCCTGTGTGTAAGATAGAGCTGTCCAGAGTAAGAAAGGGGTGTAGGACATTTCTATCTTACACCCCATTTCACGTAATGTGACGTCACAATGGCTAAACAATGTGATGTCACAAATTTAGAAATCTCCGATGCCGAAATGCGGAAAAGGCAACGTGATGAAATTAAAACCTTGTATGATATATTTACCGTATATGTTAGAAAGATGTTATTATTTTTTCTGCGCTAACTCTTGTTTGCAAATATGTGGTATGCTAAATCAAGCTGACAGATTCGTTTTTTTTCTTCAAAATGGTAGCCTGTCCAAACGCATTTCCATGGATTCTGAGCTTATTCTGGTAGTTGGAATGAGAGAAAAATATACTTTAATTTCATGCCCCAATGTGTAGGATAGGGAAATTCCACCCTCTGGATTTTCAAATTTTGCCAAACCCCTAGTTTGAATTATTCTGACGTTTTGTCAACCTTTTTTTTTATATCGGACCGATTTAAAAAAAAGTTGATAAAACATCAGAAAAATTCGGACTATTTACCAAACTCCCAGCAAAGCCTCAGGTTTTACCATATTTGAAAACCCCTCGGGTGGAATTTTCATATCCTACACCCCTGGACATGAACGAGTCTTATAATCTCCAATGGTAACCTACAGGTCAATCATTGACAGGTTCTGAAGATAAGCATCACAGGGACATCTTGTACTAGTAGATCTAGCGAACAGAATTATGCACACAAGAATAAACAGAATATGTCTTGCCTGTTTAACATCAACAGCAAATAAACTTTAAAAAGTGCAGATTATTTTTAATAATGAGGATAATTAGAAATACTTTTTAGATCACATCCAGCATCAAAAGCAGGTATTGAGATGCATTATAGATGAAGCATTTAAAAGTCATAGAATTTAGGATTTTAGGTCTTTGAGATACCGACATCTCATAGGCCTACTGAAAATTTGATAGAGCAGATTTTGATGTAGAACATTTTTCTTCACATATTGTTCAATAACATGAAATAACGATGCCAGCAGCAGTCTAGATCGACAGGAAAATATTTTTTCTTTAATTTGATGCATGATTTGCCATATATCACGCAGTAACATTTTCGGTAGACTTCATGAAACATAAAAAACGCTGGAATTTCAGTTGGTTGGACACTGCTGTCCTCGATGACATGCTAAATCCCCAGAGGATAGCGCCTAACACACGGCATGTACGCTATTCAATGTAAGTACAGTGTTTCTATGATAGGAAACAAACTTACTTGTACATGTATTATATATAGTTCATGCCGTTACATTATCATGTCAAACACCGGCGCCAAGTTTTCAAGCTGGTCAGGCTGACTATCGGGAATCTGAACAGAGCCTGCCATTTTCACTAACTTTTGTGACCTCGGCGCTGACTGGTCCGTTAAATTCTGTGCTATGACTTTGTAACCTTGACCTCTATGACATTACTTTAGTGTTTTTTTTCTTACGTGTTGGAGTATGTCTATGTTCTATTCTATCCCAAGTTTTCATCAAAAATTCTAAATTAAAAAAAAAAGCAGAAAAATGTATTTAGATTACAATCATAGATAATGTATTAATGTTATAATCTTTCAGGATCAATAAGTAACTCTGAAAATAACCATTTTTCATTTCGGTTTCTTGCAACTCATTTTGTCTTATAAATTTATGCCAAATTAAGTCAATTAATTTCCAAACAAATGAGAATTTAGATTTGTTTGTTGTTTATGTATGATGTGCTAGGAATGACAACATCACTATAATTCAAACATTTGAGTTTCAGAAGTATGTTATGGTTCATAATCTATCCGACAGTACAGGATTCCTAATCACTAGACCTGAAACGAATGTTCGAACCTTCTCCAATGAATATCAAGCTCTTGAATATTTGAATGGAGAAATAGTCTAGAATATTCGGTAACCTCACTTGCACCATTTCACAAAAACTAAAATAATGAACCAGTTGGGTATGGGATTAATTTACTTTCAAATCCCCAAGACCAGTGAAGAATTTAATATCTGATTGGTGGTTCTTTGTTTATACACAAGGCACAGTATAAAAGTGCTTTTATATTATATAGTAAGACTGTATACAAACTATAATCTATCAAAGTATGATTTTCTAAATTTTTAATTTCTATAGGAAAAAGTATGACCATAGATTTGTAAAATATTACAAGCTCATCTTTTACTCCCACGCTTGTCAATCACAGCCGCAGTTTATTTATTTATTTACTGACCGACTGAATAAGGATAATCCCATTACTAGGCGAGCATGTCTGCCTGTTTTATGTCATTATTTTGTCAATTAAACTGTCTATGAGTTTGTATGTTGGCATAGGATGCAGGTGAAGTAAGAAGACAACATGAATGGATTTCTCAGGCATGTTGACAGATGTTGCCTAATAATGATGTCTCAGGAAGTTTTGACACCATGACGAAGCCAACAGGTAGGTGTTCATTTTTCGGTTTCATTAAATGGTCACATCCCAGATAACTGACTGATATTTTCCGTTTCATACAGATTACAGGATAAAAATATCTGATTAGGAACTGAAAGTCACACCACTGGCATACTTCTATCCCTTTCTAATAGATTTGAACGTATTATTTATTGCTAAAATAACAAATTCATGTCATGTATACATGTAAAAAACACAGTTTTAAGATTCAGTGATTTTGTAACCTAAATTTTACAACAGTCTGTTCCTTTATGAATTAGGAAAATATAACATTATTTGTGTTGAAATTGGGAATATATTCCTAAATTTTTGAACGTTTTGGGAAAATCAGGAACTTTTTAGCTAGGGAAAACAGCCTGTATTCAGCAGTAAAACTGAGCATTATCTTTTTAGAAAACTAGAATAAAACAAACAAATATTCAATACCAGAATGTGATATTCGTTTCAGCTCTACTTTTCACTTACATTGTATTCTAACTGTAATATTTATCACGAAGATGAACCATGAAACCTGTAATTTTTCTTATCTCAATAGTAAACAGAATAAGTTAAGTTGGATGTGGAGTATGCATGTAAACAAGTGAGTGAGAAACAAATTCATTGAAAAGCCTGTGATTGTTGTTAAACTAAATGTTTTTTTACTAAGGTGATAGTACATAAATTGGATCACCAAACCTTCAGTTTATTCATTCAATGAAAATTCTGATGATGAATTATATTCATTTATGGTTGTATAAAAGAAAGAATATTGATGGCTTGTCTTACCAACGGAATTAGAACCCGGGGCTCTCGCAGGATATCAATAGAACGCTGAGATTACCAATCAGCAGTTCTGGTTTTGTCAGGACCCAAATCGGAGCACCAAACTATCATTTTATTCATTCAGTGAAAATTATGAGGATGAATTATATTTGTTTATGGTTGCATCAAAGGAAAATATTGATAGCATGTCTCACCAACGAAATTAACTCCCGGGCTCACGCAAGATTCAATAGAACGCTCTGATATTTACCAAACAGCGCTTCCGGTTATTGCGAATGTCAGGAATGAAATTGGATCAAGGCTTAGATTTTGCACTAAAAGTATCTTACACTTCAAATGAATATTTTTGGCAGCATATTCCTATAGTCTAAAACAGAATTCTCAGTCATCGGCGCGTCTAAAAATGTAAACAAAACACTAGCTTTCAAGTTTGAATTACGTTTTCTGGTGGTAATTGAAATTAAAAACTGATCATCTGTAGACAAAAAAATCGTGCATCCCCGATGAAATGATGGATGTTTCCATTAAACAAACATAAATGTGTGGTTAAATCTATTCTATGTTAGTATGTAGTCGTATATTAGCGATAATAGATTTTTTTAATTGAACTTGAAAGAATTTCTTGAAATGCTGAAATTTAACATGACTGACTATTTTTTTTGTAACAATATAGTGGAAGGAAAGAAATGTTTATTAATCGCTACAGTGCTCGTCGTCTGAAATTTCAAATTACAAATGTGGTGAACGTTGGTGTGGAGTTTGGACATGACTAGTAATAATGACAAGTCATATAGTCACGCAACATTGAAGCTGACATCGTAATTAATTACAACAATCAAAACACAGATGCATAGATATAACGACATAAAATGACCTATGTTGTAAATGTTATTATGGAGATGCTCAAAATTGTATTTTTATAAATCATCACAAAATATGCACGTGTTTTTAATCATGATTAATTATGAAATCATGGATCTACCAAATATGTCAATCAAAATGTAAATAACTAAAATCGTCAATGTAAATGATAAAGAAGATCAAAATTATAAATATTTTCTTTCATAAAGATGTCGATGAATGCCGAATTCATGGTAAATGAATGTTCATCTGTCGCCTATCCTAAAATCTGCCATGTTGGAAAAACGTGTCTCGGGATTTTACCTCATGAAGCTGTTCCTCAGCTTGTTCGCGTTGATTGGGATCTAAAGTTGCTCTAAGCACTTCAACGAGTTTTCCAACATCCATTTTTGCGAGCTGAAGGGACGACAAATGTCAGATTTTAGATGGTCGATTGCCCTATGGCCCTGGCAAGGGGTTCAAGCCGGTCGCGCCAACACTGAAAAATACCCCTCATGGAGGTGACATAAAGTGTTGACCTATGTCGTAAACCTTATCTTAAAAACGTATTTGCGTGTCTTGAGTTATAAGTTCCCGTAACAATATATATTCGCATCTGAATTATGTTATTGAAAACTAATGTTTTATCATTGGTGAAGTATGTTGACGGATTTATATTTGCGTAATGCCGCAAAACTTTACGGGAGAGAATGCATGAACTTTGACCTTTCCCGGAAGCATACAACGCGAGACATCCAAACACTGAATTTGTGATAATATAGTAGTGAATACTCAAATTCTGGAAGGAATATACTGTGGAGGAGTGACGCAGCTGCTGAAAACAGTTTAATCTTGTAACACGCAAAAACATGTACGCTGACAGTTTATTTGGACTAGTTCTTTGAATGCCATTTTATAGGTGAAAATATTGGCACTGGTCCAAAGTAATCACATGTGAATGAATATACATTGTATGCACTTATATGTCAGGAGTTTGTGTGCACAGATACAGCATGATATTATTCTAGTTATATGGCCATAGAATTAATTCAGTTTTTAAATTTCTGTCAATATTCAATGCCCATAACAAAAAGTAAAACAAAATACATTTCCTAAAATTATATATTTTTCAAATATTCAATAAATAACAAATACTCAGTTTTAAACCTTTAAAAGGGATTTATTCACTGCTTTTCATTGACAAGAAGATAAATAATAATTTTACAATTCCTCACCATCAGCAACCAGCAAAATGACTAGGTCCCACTCAAAAAGCTCTAAACTATGTAGATTTCTTTGCAGCTAAAAATGTCAGGACTGCATTCGCATTTCTTTCTTGAAAAGCATAATTTTAACATATTTTACAATTAAAAAAAATAATTGTCATCCTAATTATCCTATATTTGAGATTTTTTTTACCAAAACTCTGCATTAAATGTGTTCAATATATCGTCTGTTTTGAGGCTTGTTACAATAAAACGTAATGATTTTACCAAAATGGCTTTAAGATCAAAAGACATGGTGCTTTTGACTGCATTAAAGTTCTTCTCGTTTTCAGGTAGGTTTCCATACATTCTGGTATTCGTTGAATGAAGCACACTGCTGAATGACTTGACTTGGAGTACTTGTATCCGCTTGATGTCAAAATGCCTCCAAGCACAGAACTCCTTCATCCTGACTACAGATCAGTGTCCTCCATGAAGCCACAAATTGCACTCCTGCTACAGCACATACAGATGCCCATCCTGTTAATTACAAGATTTTTTCCCAAGCATCACCTGGCTCCTCTTCGACACAATCCCCAGACATTACTTAGTAAAACCCTTGGTCATATCACACTCATGGAAAACCTGCTGTTCTTAACATGTCATGTTGGAAATTATTGCAAGGTTATTTTAAATTCTATGTAAACTAACATTATCTGTAGAACCTTTGGATAGACCACCCTCTCTGCTAATGACAATTGGTCTTTCATGACATATCTTGAATTTATGAATGCTTTTAATTAAATCCTCGATATCTCAAAGTGATATTCAGGATAGGTGATTTCTCAAGACAAAACATGCATGTAAGGTATTCAACTTGTCTTTTGTGATGAAATGTTTTCTTTTTGTAGATTTATCAACAACTTCTTAAAAAATAAGGGAAATTATAAACCGAAGTATGAATATATAGTACAAACAGATTTGAGGTAGTGGGATTTCTACCCTGCAGTATTTTAGCTGACTGCTTAGAATCCTAATTGGGCTGTAGTGGCTGCAGATCTCCTTTTAATTAGAAAAAAATGTCAAGGTTGTGGTGTGAAGGACTAGAATGCATTGTGTAGCATTCATCATCTTTTATTTCTAGGGCAGCAAGTTCGGACACCAAGTACGACAAACTTGACCAAACCAACAAACAGGTAAAGGAGGTGACTGGTCTCCTGAAGGAGAATGTTGAACGGGTTTTGGACCGAGGTGAAAAAATAGACCGCCTGCAAGAAAGATCAGGTAAGCATGGATATAAGACTGACAAGTGGACTTGTCTTTAAATAACTTAAACCTATCATTTTTGTTACTTATATAGAGTTTCCATGCATAACTATCTCAAATGTATTACAACCATTTAATCCGTTTCTAGAGATATATACTGTAAATGGTATGCCCTGTGTCTTTGCACTGGGACAGGATGGTGAATTTAATAAGTTTTACAGCTCACAATATTAAGTAAGATATATTTTAAAGATGAAAGGGTGGAAACACACTTTACAGCAGCATTTAATTGTAAATTAATTGAAAGTTACAATTCTTGATAATAAGTTGATGAATGACCACAAAATAAGTATTTTAAAAAATTAAGTGATTTACAGTAACTATGGAAAAATTATTCAAAAAGGTGAAGTGTCTTAGTTTAAATATTTTAAATAAAATCTGAGTTTCTTCCAGCCCTGACACCAGACTTAGACATTTTGACAGAAAGATGTCTGGTGTGGGGCCGGGGCACAAAGTTTCCTCTGGCCCTGACATCAGACTAAGATATTTTGACAGATAGACGTCTGGTGTGGGGGCCATCTTTCAAAATGTTTGTCTGGTGTCAGGGCTAGAGGAAACTCTGGCTATTTCAAATACTGAAACAGTAACACTGTGGTAATACCATTTACTGTCCACACTCTTACTTCTCCAGCTCATTTTGACACCAACCCATTGGTCACAAAAGCTAGCTGATGGACCACTTATACTCCTTTTAAAGAACATGTATCAAATTTTAAACTTAGGTTTCAAACTTTATGGGATCTACAATCTAACTGGAGCATGGAATACCTTGATTTATTACAAGATCACAGTATAAATTTAAATCTGAATTTGTGATTATTTTTGCAGTGAAATGACTTAAGGTAATAGAATTGGGTGACCATTTCTCAGTAGAATTTCTTTAAATTTTCTAGTTATATTGCTTTGAAGTGAAGAAATTTTTCGGCCCAAAAAAAGGAGTGAGTTTTGAAAAAAAAATGAAAGACACAATTTTAGGCAAAATAATGTCAATAAAAAGGATACTGACATAGATTAGTATTGCATTAATGTATATTAATTTAATAAATGCTGAAATTGTGTAAAATTAATTATCTATAAACGATTAAAAATTGACGTTTTATTATCTTATAATAAAATCTTCTTGAAAAACTTCACAGTAGTGAAATAGGTAGCCGGTTTCCTGAAGTACAGAAAAATGGACACATGTGACTCATTGATAAAAAACAACTGAATTAATGCCTGGATTGCTTTGAAATACTTTAATTTTGAGAGAACACACTGTTCTGTCAATAATAAACATGTAATATTTATCAGTTTAATATTAAACATTAGAATATGCGGAAATTGTGATACTGCATTGGATTTTCAACTAGGGATGCACTTCCTATTTCCGTTTATCAATACACTCCTATGACCTTAATAACAATAACTAAATAACTTATTAAAGTGATGGTCATTTCAGGACCATGTGTTTGTGCAGTTCGTGAATATTCAATCTCGTTATTTTAACTCTCCACAGAGGACTTGGAATCCAATGCTATCAACTTCCAGTCATCCTCCCGACGTCTTCGCAAAAAGATGTGGTGCAAAAATTGTAAAATGAATTGTATCATTGCAGCCGTTGTTTTTGGAATAATTGCTGTCATCGTTATCATTGTTGTTTGTAAGTGACGACTTAGACGACTCATCATCACTGTAATTGAGCTGATCTGTCACTCCTCAGCGGTGACTTGGTGTAAACATTTCTGTCAAATTTGGGAAATACGAGTTTCTATGTGTTTTGAAATTGCACCTTTTGCTGGTTTAGTGGCTAATTTATATATAAGATGTGAATGATCAATTTTTGTCTTTTAATGGACACTCAGTATAAGTTTTTCATCTTAGTCTGGTTTTACTTTATCTACCGAAAACACAAATCTTACAATTCTACAAATACTGGTGGGTCATATTGTGTTATGTGTAGATTATAAAGCAAATCTCTCACCAGCATGTTAACACTTGTTTTACCAGAAATAATCATTATACAAATTATGACTGTAATACCATGTTGACAAATTCCGTGTCTTGCAGTGTCACTTAAGCCGTGGGAAGACAACAACAGCAGTGGTGGTAGTGGTGGTGGAGGCAGTGGTGGTCATGGTAACAATACCCTGACAATGTGAGGTCAAAGGTCAACAAAACACAGCATAGCTCAGTTGCAGTGTAACCTCTGTAAACGAAACCCTGTATATTCTGAAAACCTGCATAAACTACCTTCAATGTGAATTTAAGTCCCATTGTACATATTGTTGTGTAAATTGACAATATTTGTCAACCAAAATCTTGTATATCCTGAACAAAAATATTGGACTGTGTTCTGTAGATTCCTACAGTATATATGCAATGAATGCAATAACAAAGTTAATAGACAATGTTAACATAGGTACTACTCTTACCCACAGGTTTTGTCAACACCTTTTTCAATGTCAAGTATAATTTGAACAAATATTGTATAATTGGTAAATTACCATGTGACATTGTTTCTGTTTAAATTGCAATCATAAAATTTGTGAATACTTTAGCACAATATACATTTATCTATTTTAATGTAATATTTGTACATTTAAGATATAAGAAATCTTTCATAATCTGATAATTGTTCTGAATGAATAAGCGTTAATGAGGAAAGTTTATTTTGGAAATTCATCAATACCCTGACAATAGTATCAGGTTGTGATATGAGGTTAATGAAAAAAATTCAATCCCTATACTATAAGTGTATAAGTTATTTTCAGTGTAAATATTTTATAGAGTGTTCAATATAATGTTTTTTAAATTGAAAGTTGGTTGCATGCCATCTTTTCTGATGCTATCAGAATAACAATTAATAGTGTGGACTTTTCAAAGTTTTGAAATAATTGTTTCAATTACATGTTGAGATTATATTTATGTGAAAAAATGCATTGTGCGTATATAAAGATGTATTATAGTCCAGGAATAAATGTGATTAAAATAATACAAGTACAAAAATCTTCCTTTTAAAATTTATTTTTACATTCAAATGATGTACACGTTGATGACAAATAAAATGATTATAAACATAAATGGCTTTGTCTTGTAAATAATGCTTAATCATAATCAATTCATACATTCCATTCTTTCTTTCATTCTTCTTCTTCTTCTTTCAATCTTCACTCCCAACCTTATTAAAACAAACTATCTAAAAAATTAATTTAAAAACTGGTACTTTTATATAACATGTAAACTTGATGATAATTTTACCTGTTAATGATGGCTTATACAGGTATCAGGTTCATTTTAATAACTTTGTTAAAATAATATTTGTACTTTTTCGTTCCTACTATGACCAGGTTGACATTGACCTTTAAGTACCCGTCACAGGTTGACATTGACCTTTAAGTACCTGTAACAGGTTGACCTTGACCTTTAAGTACCCGTCACAGGTTGACATTGACCTTTAACAGTTAAATGCTATATCTTCAGTAATTGAATGTCACCTCCACAGATTAGACAGACTCAAGCTGTGGGATCTTGTCTGTTCTGTCTATTGGTATCGTACTAGGACTCTAGGCCATAAGCACAGCTCCTTCTTTTCTAGCTTCTAATTTGTTTCCTGCAGCTGCGAAACCAGAGGCACCCTGGAAAAGGAATTGTGTATTAAATTGTAAATGAGATTTCTTATCATATACTCTACTTACCATTCTATATTATTTTCATTACCGGTATATGGAGTTTTCAATTTAAGATTAACAAAAATATTCTAAAAAGAACACGAACAAGCACCTGCTGACAAAAACACTGCACAGAGAAGCAGTCTATTCCCAGGATATATTAGTGAAATGAATTTCACTCGGAAAGAAAAATGGATGTCACAGACAACTAGGATGCAAGGTATTGGTGAAATGAATGTAAGTTAAAGCAGTCCATCTCAAATAAGGATGCTGCAGTTATTTAAGATTACATTGAATATGATTCTTATATCTTAACCACAAGATTTAAACAATGATTCTTCCAAATTTCAAGGGAAATATTGATATAGTGGAAAGTGTCATACTCTCTACCATTCTGATAATTCTTATAATAAAATTATCAAAATACTGAAATGTAACAAGAAAATGAAATTTACTCAATTAAGGTAAGCTGAATATTTCTTGGATGTGTTGAAATGGGAAAACAAAATACTTCACTAGCCAAAGGAATAAGGTATGGTGTGCTTGTTTCTCGTTATTGTATAGGGATAGCCTCCCATTCCCTTTGCTGAAATTATGGGCCTGTTCGTTTATGCCGAACAACCAGTATTTCTTATGAAAGGATTAATGTAACGCAACCAAAAAGTGTTTACATGCGACATTTTGATGACTGCAAATTATATGTACTTTGTCACCTTCATCAGACAAATGACCAGTGAAGTGTATGTACACAAAGATGTAAAATGTGTACAAGTTGTCCACAAATCAATGTCGATTTGGCTACGCTGTAAGTGTATGTACAATAGTTGTTATATATGTACCGAAATGACTCGATTCAGCATCGCTTTGTTTAATACTTGGTCATAGATGTGCGAGAGTCTATGAGCCCCCTCATCTCGATTCAGAACTGGCCTACTGCGGCGGATCCAAATCGCTTCCTTTACCTGCCGCTTGAACAGATTGCTCTCTCTATCCAATACCAATATCCCAGTCAACAACATGATTTTTCTGTGTGGCATGGTCTGTTAATAGACTCTTGCACATCTATGATCAAGTATTAAACAAAGCATAGCTGAATCTAGTCATTTTGGTACATATATAACAACTAATTCAAATTGTACCAAGAGCAAGATAGTAAAATGCCCTCCAGTTTTTGCCTATGTATAATAATTTTAATTTGTTGACTTTACTACAAAACATTGATAAAATCATTTCAGAATCGATTGGCATTTTCCAGTGGACGTGTGAGTTATGTACCTTATTTGAAATAGTTTATAAATATCTGTGTTTGAAAAAATGATTTCCTGTTTGTCGGTTGTGTTGTGATTATCCTGATTGGGCTTAGCACTATAAATCACCACTTTTTTGTCCTTATTGTAGCAAAACAACAGCTTAAATGGTTTAAATGGTTTAAATTGTACAAACTAAACCTCTTTCCAACAGAACAGGAAAAACGTCTGGAGTTGGGAGGTATCTCCTCATTCTCACTTCAAGGTTTTCTACATTTGTATGTTCACTTTAACAAAACATAAAAACAGACATAATAATGGTTTGTTTTTGGAAAACAATATTTGAAGAACTAAAATGAGAACCTAACCCTTGATTCAGAGATGTTCCTGACCAGTGACACCTTGTGATAAAATCTCACCCTTTGTAACTGTATTATATCCTTTTCACGGAGCTTGGCACCATTAATGGGGTCCAGCATGTCCTTCTTTATAATCTTCTCAACACACTCCATAGTTACCACACTTCCCCTGGAAACGCAATAACCTCAACACCTCAGGAAAAGGAGTGTATTTACAGACACAACTTTCTGAACTAAAATCTTATTCAAATGCACTCTTTTTCTGAATTTGTGCCTTGTCTGGAGACATTACAGGAGCAACTGTAAAACACTTAAATCGCATTTTAACCAGTGACATATAAAAATTATAAGTGTGATTAAAACTTATATCTTCACTTTAGGTACATGTACTTACAAAAAGGTAAAAACAAAATAGCAGAAAACGGTAGAATTGTGTTGCGTAGCTCATTCAAAATGGTGCACAGCCTTGTAGTCAAGAGTGATGACATCATTAGATCCTGGCATTGAATATTACAATACTAATTTACACGCTTTTTGATTCATCACTATTTTCGTCATTTTACTTTTATAAATATAATCCAAAAAATTTAATGGTTTTCCTGTTACATACCACATTGATATATATTTTACTCATATCGCAGAATATACGGATATTTTCACTTGAGTTCACACTCGATTGAATAGCTCTGAGTCACTTACGATGGCCTGAGGACAGCACAGGGTATAGAGTTACCAAGGACGTCATTTGTTACAGCACACACATATCTCGCCTAGCAAAGATTTTTTTTTATTATTACACATTATTATCGGTTTACATATCAATAAATGAATCTCTTTACACGAAAAATTGTTTACAAATCAATTTTTTGATGTCAAGGATAAGAAATTATTTTTTGTATGCTGACCATTAGAACCCTGTCAATATGACCATTGTAATTTCCTAAAATGTAACAGGGTCACCAGAAAGTGCAGTTTTTAAACAAAATATTCATTAGATAGTTAAGGGCAATCTGTTTCCTTTCAGATATAATTGAATGATTTTAGAGATCAGACAAAAATGTCATACAGAAATAAATAAATAGTGCTTATCTGGTAGTTTCCAATTCACGAACCTGTTTAGTGATCAGGGCTGTCTTGGAATCTCTGTCCATGATATCTGTGAAGTTCACTGTAATCAGATCTTTGAGGCGTAACGGCTTTCCGCTCATTGGGCACTTGACCTTTTCATCCTGAATAACAGACAAATATAGCAATCTAGAGACACACGATAAGGATTACAAAAAATACACTGAAGACTCCCTTCTAATTAATACTCGTAGTAGTCAATGTATTTGATAGAAAGAACATGTACACTTCCATTTTTATAAATCGGTATATTTTTTAATGGCTCTATTTTGGAAAATGTGGTTTCTCTCACCACATATATACTTTGTGTTTTTTACTTTTGATATCATATAAACGTTTAAATATGGAGATATATTTTTCAATCAAACAATCTCAAGAAAATTTCAATTTTGTAAAATCACACCAACCGGTTTTTTCACTTTGCTGGGTCCGGCAGCAGGAGTCATAGATGGTATCCAAAAGCTAGGCAGCTCTTTTGATTTTGAAGAACCCATATTGGAGATACTACTTGCTGCTGCAGCTTCTAGAAAAAGATAAAACAGTCTATTGTCACTTTATGGTTAGAAGTATTCTTTCTTCTCATCATAATCACTGCACATTTGTTGTACAAGAATTACAGTAAGAGTTTATAGGAGAATAATATTTATGGTAATAGACAAACCTAACAGCATTTCTATTCATGTTGCAAGACAAAAAGAGCACCATAACCTTCCTTACAGGTCTTCAACTAACCTCCTTCATTTTCATATTGATGAAGATAATTTGGGCGAAAAAGAACAATATTATAGAGAGTAAATTGTATGGATGGGTGGGAAACAATTAAATCAGAAAGGTATGAGAGGTAAACAAAATAAAATTATTAATCGTCGCACAAAGCCCTGGTTAATTTGAAAATTAATGAGATTAATGTATTTGAATTCATGATGTGAATTATCATAAAAGTATATATCCTGTGAAAACTAAGTGATTAATTAGCTTTAGATAGTTCTAAACATGTCCATGGCTGACACCATCATCAGACCTTGGTGAGCGTGGAGTCACTGTCCACACTTACAGACCTTGGTGAGCATGGAGTCACTGGCCACACTTACAGACCTTGGTGAGCGTGGAGTCACTGGCCACACTTACAGACCTTGGTGAGCTGGGAGTCACTGGCCACACTTACAGACCTTGGTGAGCTGGGAGTCACTGGCCACACTTATAGACCTTGGTGAGCGTGGAGTCACTGGCCACACTTACAGACCTTGGTGAACTGGGAGTCACTGGCCACACTTACAGACCTTTGTGAGCTGGGAGTCACTGTCCACACTTACAGACCTTGGTGAGCGTGGAGTCACTGTCCACACTTACAGACCTTGGTGAGCTGGGAGTCACTGGCCACACTTACGCTGTTTAGCTGCTGCCCCGGGGGCTTGACTACTGATCTGTAAACTTTGTTTCTTAGATGCCAGCTCTGCTCGTCCCAATTCTTTAAGTTCTTCCTTCAAAATAAATTATACACAAACTACTGGATTAGAATAAATAATCTGTTAATACTTTATAACAGGAAACATTTGCCTTGTCAAACTTTTGTCCTTCATCGGTAAAATCAAGATCTGCCCATCATTAATTATATATGGTGTTGATAACGGAAATTAGCTGTTATGATTAATTTGCCCTCATTATGAAAAAGGTAAAAGTTAAACTGCAGTGAAATTTTCCGTAAAACTCTTTCCGTATCTGTATGTAAAATTTAATATTTGAATAGATACTCTGCACATTTACAGGGTTGTCTAGCTTCTAGGTATGTTACTACTAGTCATTTACAGGGTTGTCTAGCTTCTAGGTATGTTACTACTAGTCATTTACAGGGTTGTCTAGCTTCTAGGTATGTTACGACTAGTCATGTGCAGGGTTGTCTAGCTTCTAGGTATGTTACTGCTAGTCATTTACAGGGTTGTCTGGCTCCTAGGTATTTTACTACTAGTCATTTACAGGGTTGTCTGACTTCTAGGGATTTTACTACTAGTCATTTACAGGGTTGTCTGACTTCTAGGTATGTTACTACTAGTCATGTACAGGGTTGTCTGGCTTCTAGGTATGTTACTACTAGTCATTTACAGGGTTGTCTGGCTTCTAGGTATGTTATTACTAGTCATTTACAGGGTTGTCTGACTTCAAGGTATGCTACTACTAGTCATTTACAGGGTTGTCTAACTTCTAGGTATGTTACTGCTAGTCATTTACAGGGTTGTCTAGCTTCTAGGTATGCTACTACTAGTCATTTACAGGGTTGTCTAACTTCTAGGTATGTTACTACTAGTCATTTACAGGGTTGTCTGGCTTCTAGGTATGTTATTACTAGTCATTTACAGGGTTGTCTAACTTCTAGGTATGTTAGTACTAGTCATTTACAGGGTTGTCTGACTTCTAGGTATGTTACTACTTCTAGGTATGTTACTGCTAGTCATTTACAGGGTTGTCTAACTTCTAGGTATGTTACTGCTAGTCATTTACAGGGTTGTCTGACTTCTAGGTATTTTACTACTAGTCATTTACAGGGTTGTCTGACTTCTAGGTATGTTTCTACTAGTCATTTACAGGGTTGTCTAACTTCTAGGTATGTTATTACTAGTCATTTACAGGGTTGTCTAACTTCTACTAGTCATTTACAGGGTTGTCTGGACTTCTAGGTATGTTACTACAAGTCATTTACTGGGTTGTCTGACTTCTAGGTATGTTACTGCTAGTCATTTACAGGGTTGTCTAGCTTCTAAGTATGTTACTACTAATCATTTACAGGGTTGTCTAACTTCTAGGTATGTTACTTCTAGTCATTTACAGGGTTGTCTAACTTCTACTAGTCATTTACAGGGTTGTCTGGACTTCTAGGTATGTTACTACAAGTCATTTACAGTGTTGTCTGACTTCTAGGTATGTTACTAATTGTCATTTACAGGGTTGTCTGGCTTCTAGGTATGTTACTGCTAGTCATTTACAGGGTTGTCTGACTTCTGGTATGTTACTACTAGCCATTTACAGGTTTGTCTGGCTTCTAGGTATGTTATTACTAGTCATTTACAGGGTTGTCTGACTTCTAGGTATGTTACTGCTAGTCATTTACAGGGTTGTCTAGCTTCTAAGTATTTACTACTAGTCATTTACAGGGTTGTCTAACTTCTACTAGTCATTTACAGGGTTGTCTGGACTTCTAGGTATGTTACTACAAGTCATTTACTGGGTTGTCTGACTTCTAGGTATGTTACGACTAGTCATTTACAGGGTTGTCTGACTTCTGGTATGTTACTACTAGCCATTTACAGGGTTGTCTGGCTTCTAGGTATGTTACTGCTAGTCATTTATAGGGTTGTCTGACTTCTAGGTATTTTACTACTAGTCATTTACAGTGTTGTCTGACTTCTAGGTATGTTACTACTTACTAGTCATTTACAGGGTTGTCTAGCTTCTAGGTATGGTACTACTAGTCATTTACAGGGCTGTCTGACTTCTAGGTATGTTACTACTAGGCATTTACAGGGTTGTCTGGCTTCTAGGTATGTTATTACTAGTCATTTACAGGGTTGTCTGACTTCTGGTATGTTACTACTAGCCATTTACAGGGTTGTCTGGCTTCTAGGTATGTTATTACTAGTCATTTACAGGGTTGTCTAGCTTCTAAGTATGTTACTACTAATCATTTACAGGGTTGTCTAACTTCTAGGTATGTTACTACTAGACATTTACAGGGTTGTCTGGCTTCTAAGTATGTTACTACTAGTCATTTACAGGGATGTCTAGCTTCTAGGTATGTTATTACTAGTCATTTACAGGGTTGTCTGACTTCTGGTATGTTACTACTAGCCATTTACAGGGTTGTCTGGCTTCTAGGTATGTTATTACTAGTCATTTACAGGGTTGTCTAACTTCTAGGTATGTTATTACTAGTCATTTACAGGGTTGTCTAGCTTCTAAGTATGTTACTACTAATCATTTACAGGGTTGTCTAACTTCTAGGTATGTTATTACTAGTCATTTACAGGGTTGTCTAACTTCTACTAGTCATTTACAGGGTTGTCTGGCTTCTAGGTATGTTACTACTAGTCATTTCCAGGGTTGTCTGACTTCTAGGTATGTTACTACAAGTCATTTACAGGGTTGTCTGACTTCTAGGTATGTTACTACTAGTCATTTACAGGGCTGTCTGGCTTCTAGGTGTGTTACTACTAGTCATTTACAGGGTTTCTAGCTTCTAGGTATGTTACTACTAGCCATTTACAGGGTTGTCTGGCTTCTAGGTATGTTACTACTAGTCATTTACAGGGCTGTCTGGCTTCTAGGTGTGTTACTACTAGTCATTTACAGGGTTTCTAGCTTCTAGGTATGTTACTACTAGCCATTTACAGGGTTGTCTGGCTTCTAGGTATGTTACTACTAGTCATTTACAGGGTTGTCCAACTTCTAGGTATATAACATATCGATTCAACAAAGCGATGCTATATGTGTGTATCAACAAGCATTTGTTACCTGTTCTCTGTTTTTTTGTTTATCAAACTTCTTCAGTTGCTTTGCAATTTCTTTTTTTTGATGAAGAATAAATTCTAAAACTGCCTCCTTGTCATATAGGTATCCCTCTGGCCTACAACACAAGTAAATATCACCAACATAAGTATAGATCTACATCACTCTAGTCTACAACACAAGTAAATATCACCAACATAAGTATAGATCTACATCACTCTAGTCTACAACACAAGTAAATATCACCAACATAAGTATAGATCTACATCACTCTAG